TTGGCCTGCAGGGGAGCTGCGCCCAGGCTGCATTGCTCCTCAGAGGCCAGAGTTAGACTGAACCACTTGAGCGAGCAATGAGGACCATGTTTTCAGGTGCTAGAGGTGGTTGTTGAGCCCTGTAATTCTCTCTCCTCTTCTGGAATCAGAGAGAATATGGCTTTGGGATAGAGCTATGATTGATAAAGATTTGAGTCTAGAAAAGGACCTTGGGGAGGGCAATCAGGGAAAACTGCAAGAAAAAGAAGAGGAAGGAAGGACAGAAGAAGGAAGATAAGAGAATATAGTGCAAGGAGAAGGAAAGCGAAACTTTAGCAGATGACTCCATAGAGGATCTATAAAAATGGGCATTTCCTGCATGGGTGCTGCCTTCCACTCCACAAAAGCCCCTGGGCTCCAGGTTCCGGCAGTCTCATGGAGCTTTGTCTCCGCATGAATGGCATTTCCGACTGTCCCATCAGTAGCCACACAGGACAGAAGTGCACACGTTACCGTGGGAACGGAACCCTGTCATCCTAGGAATCTGAGGATGGTTTAAGGGAGGCAAGACCAGCAACACCCCCTTCCTTGTGGAATGCACCACTCATGGGGGAAGCTTCAGAACATGTTTATTACTGAGATACATCCCCCATCCCCACCATGCCATTGTGTTTGGCTTTCCATTGTTATCTCTTCCTTTTGAGAACCTGAAAGTTAGTGATACAAAAATAGCTCTTCAGAGGAAAGCGCACAGAAAGAGAGAGAAACTGCCAGATGAGAACCTCCTACTCCTGTCATGTGGAAGAAGTTTGCCATGCTTTCTGGTTCTTGATATATCGTAGAGATCGTGAGCTTTGGAGTTGACCACGTCTTAATGAACCGGCCAAATCATTTCACTGCTCTGAGCCAGCGTCCTTGTCTGCAATGGCAGGAATAAGAATTCTAACAATTCAGGGTTGCCGTGAGGATTCGTGTGCCCCCAGCTGTAAACCGCACACTACCGAGAGGCAGTTGCTCAGGAAACGGCAGCCGGGCATGTTGAGATCCTGAAAGCTGTGTGTCCAGCCGCCGTGTTCCTGTGGATGACGTGGACAGCCTTGTCACCTCTTAGGGCTCTGCCTGGTTACTGCTGCTTACACTCCCCCAGGTGTTTCAGGAGTCCTCTCAGAAGCAGGCAGACATTGAGACATGTGACCTGATGTACTAACTTTGAGCTTCAGTCCTGGTTCTTGTTCTTCCTCGTGTTCTACGTCTTGTTCATTCTTTTGTTTTCTGGGGCGGTTGAAACGTTAACTGAAGCTCACTCAGCTTCAGAGGACTGAAACAAGAGTGTTCTGAAAATTCAGAGGTGGTACAATGAGGCAGGAAAGCAGATCTCCCGGTCCCTTCTGCCATGCAGTAGTATTCCTAGGGTTAACTGCTAGTTGCGTAGCACCAATAATGTTTACTTAATAGCTCCCTGCAAGCCATGCCTTTCAGACCTTGTTTCCTGACTAAGTTTTGAAGTTTACAGTTCTTAAAATGTGGACGTCACAAGGGTCACCCTTGGGGCATCTTGACATCCTCTTTCCATCTCGTCCCATCCCTGCTCCCTTGGAACACTGCCAGGCTCACTTTGCTCTGCTCTCCTTTCTCCCCCGCCCGGCATTTCATCTGATGGTCTTGGACTAAAGTGCAGTAAGAGCATCATCATTATACTCGTCTTTGGGCATCTCCTCTTCTGATTTTGCAGCTGCCTCTCAGTTGATTTGTATCTGCATTTCTGCCACCTTTAGATTTGTTGTCTACAAGGAGGTGTGTGATTTTTTTTCAAGCAGTTCGAAAGGAGAGGAAGGAGAGAGTCCTCATGTTTGTTAAGTATAAGGTGGGGGAGAGAAATGCTTGAAGTGCCTTTTGTTGGTAGAGATGCCCTAGGTTTGAGAACACTGCAGCAACTGTTTCCCATTTCATGCAGAGCAGCCCTGTGAGATGATTGTATTATCCCTCAGTTATAAGTAAATTTGGGATGTACCAATTTGCCAACAAGTAGGGAAAATTACAAGTTGAACTTGAAACTTTTGCTTGACAGGCAGAGGTCTCTCGTCTCTCTCTCTCTCTCTCTCTCTCTCTCACACACACACACACACACACACACACACACGGAGAGGGGTGGAGGGGTGGGACAGAGCGTGGGCAAGTCCAGAGAGATCTTCTGTCTGCTGATTAACTTTGTCAAATGCCCACAATGGAAATGGGCTATTCGCAATACAGAAGCCAGGAGCTTCCTCCAGATCTCCCATATGGATGCAGGGGGCCTAAGAACATGGATCATCTTCCTCTACTACTTTCCCTCGGCTATTAGCAGGGCGCTGGATCACAAGTGGAGCGGCCAAGTCGAGAACCCAGTGTCAGATGAGTTGCTGGCAACTGAGGCTTCAGGTTTACCCACTATGACATAGAGCTGGCCTGAAATCAGTCATTATTTTCTATACCAAGTAGCCCATAAAAAGCCTGTTTTGTAGCTCTGGTTGTTTCATGCGTAATGTTTTAAAAGATGTGAAGCCTACCAACAGTAGGAAAATTTAAACATGTGAAACATTAGGGAAGAAAGCAGAGCTCTGCCGGCCTCTCCCGTGTCTGCTGCAGCTGGCTTCTCCTGGCTGGCAAGATGTCTTCCATGTGAGGGATGCATCCTCTAACTGCAGTTGGGGCGCTGGCTAGTCTGGTGCATAGACACTGCTGTGAGAGCAGAGAAAAAGCCCCTGTGGTGTCACAGTTGATACACCAACCTTTTTACTCTAAGCTCAGCCAAGTTTTAACCAGCAGTTTCATTCAGTCAGGAAGCTGAATATGAGAAAAGTGAGAGGCTGCTGCAAACAGACAGTGTTTCAGCAGCAAGGAATGATAGCTGTTCCGAGAGATGGTCAGGAAGGACAAAGAACCCCCAGGAGAAGCAGGCGCTAAGTGGTGTGACCTCTTCCTTATCATGAGGGAAGTAGCTGGGCTCCCTATACACACCTCTATACACCACCTGTGTCTGTAGCCGGGAGTCTGAGGATGCCTGCCAAGGTGGCTGGCCTGCCAGGACCATGGGTGTGCCTCTGAGAGCACATCGGCTATGCCAGCCTCACACAATGTGTGCAGAACTAGGTTGCAGGAGTTCAGACTAAGCATGCTTCTCTCTCTTCTGTGTCTGACCTTTCTGTGCCTCAGTGGATTGTCTGATTTTTGATGTTATCTTATCACTTGGCATAACATGAATAACAAATACTAGCCTTTTGCACATACTTGAATTAAATCGGTTTTGAGCTTTCTAAAAAAAAAATGTCTGCCTGCCCCTGCCTTGGAAGTAAGGAAACCTATCATAATGCAGTGGAAAAACTCTGCATTTTTAGAGATATTTCTTTCTCATTTGCTAGTTGAAAATAGAATTTAGAATTTACAACTGTGATAAGGCCTCTACTTACAATCTGATTCAATATCTGTTCTTGCTTGATCTTTCCTGTAGAAGAAAGTAACCACAACAACAAAATCTTAAGACTGAGCAGACTCAGGTACTTGTTACCCAAATAACCTTCCTTTCTGAAGTTTCCCATCCAGCCAGTCACTGAGGAGCAGAGCAAAATGTGAGATACTAGTGTAGGCCAGCTGCTGCCTTTAGCTGGATATGCCCAGGGGCTGCACACCTGACCATCCCTCCGCGTGAGGCCAGCTTAGAGCAGGGGTCAGACCTGGGTGATGAGCTTCCCATGTGCACGCTCTGTGCTTAGAAGTGACCCAGAGGCCTCTGGGAATACAGCAGAGCTTCATAATAAAGCATCATGCCAACTCTCACAAGGCCAGCCAAGTAACAAGAGCAGTACAAGGGACAGCAGCCACGGTTAGAAGGTGATGATTTGTTCCTGAGCTCCATGATCCAGACCATTGATGCGTGGAGTTGCAAGGAGTAAGAGACCCATGAGAACTGGGTAGTAGGTGATGTCTCCAGGATGGAAAGACATGTCTTGACTTGAGCCTTGGGAAGTGGGAGTGGTATAGTGAGATAGCTGGGGAGCTAGGACATGGCTGGCCGTGTCAGCCAGCCTCTGTGCATTCTTTTGTGGGGCTGGGTGTGTGATTCCTTGATAATGGCTTTGAGAGGTGGTGACATTGCCCTGAGGTGTACTCTCTACTACAGGGAGGCATGGGAGGGATGGAACCAGGGAGCGAGCGCATGGGTTTGATCTGGCTTGGGCCCAAGTCTGTAACACAGAACTGGTGAAAGTCTCATGCATGTGAACATACTAGGGACACACACACACTCTGTTTAGTGTACAGTTCATCGTGGCAGATAGATTTAGTTTGGATGTACATAGTGCATATTTAAAGAGGACATAGTAGAGCTGTAGTAGTGTGTGTAGTATGTACATGTGCATCTTTTGTTTAACATTTTGCTCTTTTGAGAACTTCTTTTAGATTATAACCCAGTGGAGTAAAAAGAAGAAATGTTCTAGGTCCTCAGATGAGACGCCTCTCGTGCTTGCCCTCTTCCTAGCAAGCCTCAGCCTTTTGCCGTTTCTCCACCTGCCTTGCCAAACCACCACTTGGAAACTGTCCTGCTTGGGTGGCGTGCCCCTTGCTTTATTTTGAACCAGCCTTAGGAACAGGTGGCAGACTGCTTGTTACATTTGAAGTAATCACAAATCGCTGAAAGGTGTTTTGTCAGTCATGCAAGGAAATAGCATGGACAACGACAGTAGCATTGAAAAGCCTTCTTAAACTGTATTTTCTTTTCTATAACCTTGTAGTTTCTGTGCCAACTTGTAAATTGTGGAGCTTCCACAATTAAACAAATCTCTCAGAGGAGTAATTTTTTACCATCCCTGCAAGTGAACATTTCTGACTTTTGGATGAATACTGTTGGCCATGTGAGCATGTGTAGCTTTCAGAGTTTTGGGTTCAGGTGAGAGAGCTGTATGAATAGGCGTATGTGGCTCTGGAACGTCGGCCGCCCTCTGGCTCAATGGGTAATCTCTAACCCCTGTGCGCTCTCCCCTCTCCAGCCAAAACCCACGAAGGGCCGGATGCGCATCCACTGCCTGGAGAACGTGGACAAGGCTCTGCAGTTCCTGAAGGAGCAGAGAGTCCATCTTGAAAACATGGGGTCCCACGACATCGTGGATGGGAACCACCGGCTGACCCTCGGCCTCATCTGGACCATCATCCTGCGCTTCCAGGTGAGGGACTCGGCCCAGGACAGCCCAGCCCCTCGGGGGCTGGCCACCTCCTTCCAGAGGGCCCCAGGGAGACCATGTTGAAATAGCGTCTGAGTGTCTGGTGTGTGGAGTTCTGTGCCCTTTGCTGCCCTGCAGGCATGTGGATGCTGCCTGTCCCTGGCAGCTGTGCTCCTCCCAGATGGGACCCAGGGGCACTGTCTGCATGTGTTTCCAGGCTGCCCACCACTTCCCCAGGCACCATGAGATGTGTGCTCTGGGCCACTCAGTGTTCCAGGACAGAGATAGAAGGCTGATGGCTAAGGCTAGCTCACCAGCATGAAACCAGACCTCCTGTGGGTGTAACACAAAGCACAGAATATTTTAAGAGCCGCCACTGAGGGATGTGGTACGTGCCTGGGCTCCATCCTCACCTTCGCATTCTCTCCTTTGAATGTGAGGAAATCCTTTTTGGGAAAAAAGCACAAACATCTTTACTGTTGAACTCAGAGTGGTTTTGCAGGTTTCACTGCACCTATGGAAAGGGCTGTAAGTGCACAAGCATTTGGAGCCAGAAGGTGCTCTCAAGATCACTTTGTCCAGTTCTTTCACTTTATGAGGACACCCAAGAGAAGTTTTGGAGCCTTGTCCAGGAGTCCACAGCCAGTCAGGGCCACACAGGGTGTTTCTGATCTCAGAAAAGGTATGGACAGGGCCATACCTTGCACCTGCTTAGCAGTGCTTCCTGCAGGTACCTGCCTCATCCCCAGGCTTTTCAGTTAAAATCTGAAGTGACACTGTACTGTCAGGTGACTCCATGAACAAGCACCCTGGCAATGCTAGATCCTCGGGCACCATGTTCCCTCTGCCATTCCTTCTCCTTCCACTGTTTTGATTAAGAGCTCCCTGATTGTTTTCTGAGTTAAGAACCCCTCTCCCCCCGCCCCCCCCCCCACACACATACAGAAAAGGAAAAGGAATAGTCAAATTATTCCAGTCTCTGTTCTCTTACTGAAACCAGCCTTTTCCCTTTTCACATCCTTGAGGAATAGGCTGGAGTTTCTGCACCCTTCCTGGTAGGCATGTCTGGAAGGAAGGCTAATGTAGAGTCATAGAAAGAATTCGCACCCCTGATTTGCTGGTCGTGTGGTGCTGTGGGAAAGCGTCTTAGTTCAGGTTCCCGGGCCAGCCCCAGTGGTCCCAGTGATGTAGGCTTCAGGAGGGACCTGCTATGGAAAAATGACATCACCAAGTGGTATTCATTATAGCCATGGAGGGGGAATTTTTTTTTTTCTCATACAAGAACTGTGGTGCAGGTTCCTGTCATCTAGTTCCCAAGTGAAATGGAATGAATGCCACTGGATTCAGTAATGATTGCTGCTGTGTGTGTTACAGCAGAGGTGAAGTCAGCAGGACATTCCCACATCTCCAGCCCTCATTGCCCCATGCAATATTGTATTGCTGTCGCCTCCGGCCCATAGTAATCAGAGCATGCAAGGGCATCCTGCTTGTGGCCTCTCTCATCAGCGGGTCAGTGCCTGTGTCAGGGAGCTGGCACACTTGGCCCTTTTCAGGGTTTTCAGGGTTCTCAGCGTGAACTAGGTTGAGTCATTGACTAATTAGCTTCCTGCCAGCTTTCCTTTTTCTATGCCTCACCCTGTAAATGCTGATGTGCGCTTTCTCCCTTTCCTTTGAGGCAAGAAGCTCGGGCTGCTGATGTTACTGCTTGGCCTGCAATGGTGGTGTCTTACATGACTCCACTTCCTCCAACAGCTTTATTAAATCGTCACCTGCTCCACAAATTGGTGTTGATTTCTGCGTCAGCCAGCGCCCAGCACACGTTGTGTCACCTTGGCGAAACTTCCCTGTGTGTCTACAGAGGTGTCCTCTGTTCCCCAGCTCCTGAATATAGTTGTCATGTGTGTGTTTGGACACACACGTATGTGTGTGTCTGTTTTCTGCCCATAGCTCTCAGGACATGACTATTCTGTATCTGCATAGCAGATACCTGTTAGATACTGGAGGGTGACACAGACACACAGGGGTTTTGCTTGCTGGTTACTTAAAGATGGTGAGAGAAATTGGCAGTCTTCGGGTCCGCCTAGTCTGAACAGGGGACCACTGTCTTCTTTCAGAGGGTAGGTAGGCTCTGGAAAGGGATGACCTTATTCCCCCAGCAGTATAGGAAAGCTGATACAGTCCCAGCCTGCCTTCCTGGCATGAGGGTGAATCTTTTTATATTCATTTTCTGTGCATGAGCTAATGATTCTAATTATAGAGTTTGGAGCTTACGCAAATTTAGACTTTTTATTGTTACCACAATTAAATATGCATAATCTTTAAAAGAGTTTAGTTAGTGCACTTCTTGGTTGAAAACTTCTCACCTTTCAGTATTATAACTCAGTACTTTGTCCCTCTTAACTTTTTCAAAAAGAATTTTGAGAAGCGTGTCTGTATTGCGTGAATGAAGGGGCTAGGGGCTACAGAGAAGTCTGGGTTGGGAGTGGTTAGTGCTGGAAGGTGATGGATGCCCTGGGCCCACACACCCTTCATTCCCAACACACATCCTGTATTATCTTTACAAAAGATTTGTTATTAAAGACAAAAAAAATCCTTAGAGCACTTGTGTGAGGTCACATACCAAGGTGTCTGACCCCTGATCCAAGAAGCACCATTCGTGGGTGCCATGGCATTCATGAAGCTCAGCACTGGGTGTTCCTCATTGTCACACCTAAGCACACAGCAGCACCGTGAGCTGGCCACTGTGTACTGCCATTCCTCAGATGGCAAAGCTGAGGAGCTCACCCAGGGACACACAACATGTGGTAGAGCTTCTTTTGACACCGAGAGAGAGACTGGCTTTGGTGTCAGGAGCCCAGGCATGTTGTAGAATGTGTACACACTGTGGAAGTACAGCATTCAAGCACCCTCTTTTCCTACAAGTTTGGGTCCATTTTCATAAAACAGTGCACACAGTATACTTGCCGTTAAAGGTTTCCACCTGGTATCGAAGATGTTTGCTTATGAAAATCTGAACTTAATGTTTTCCTGGGGTCTGGTGAGGTTCCAGGGATACCGTGTTAACCGCCGTGGGCTCTCTAGACCCTAAATGACCCTAAATGACCTCCCACAGATCCTAGAAAGTCATACGGATCAGCCACCTTCCTTTCAGCCTCATCTCGGTGCAAAGTAGAAAACCCAGTTCTGGCTGATGTTTCTGAGCCAAGCCCTAGCCAAATAGAGCAATGTTCACAGACCCCGAGAGTAGGTAGTCTACAGAGCAGGCATGGAGTCTGTGTAGCCCTGTCTTTCTGAGTGACCCATTCAGGTGTCTAATATTCTTTTTTGACTCTTAGATCCAGGATATCAGTGTGGAAACTGAGGACAACAAAGAGAAAAAGTCTGCCAAGGACGCTTTGCTGTTGTGGTGCCAGATGAAGACAGCTGGGTGAGCATAAACTCAGGAGGGTCAGGGTTGCTGTCTCCAGGGTGAGGTTGGCGCTGTGTGATCATCTCTTAGAAGGTGGTGACAAGCGTCCTTTCCTCTGGTTCCGTCGAGAAGTCTCGCTGGCTTGTAAGCAGTGGGCAGGTTGACATGTCGGCTGGTTCCCAGAGTGGAGGGAGTTGTGATTTGTGCTTTGAACCCGTCACAGCTCTACAGTCAATCCCATTCACATTGTTAAGGAAACCCCATAAGGGCGGGCATTTGCTGCAGTAGTTAAGACGCCACTTTGTTTTGTCTGCATCCCATATCAATGCCTGGAACTGAGTCCTGCCTCTGCTTCCAATTCAGACTTCCTGCTAATGCTTAACCCCGAGGCAAAAGTGATGGCTCAAATAACCTGGGTCCCCTGCCACGCTTGTGGAAAACCTAGTTTGGGTTCTAGGTTCTGGCTTTGCCCAGGTCTAAACCCTTCCACTGCAGGTAAACGAACAAAAATAAATCAGAAAGCTTCAAGGAACATTGAATTTTGAATTTTTAAAATCCAGGAAGCATTTTTAAGAATCACATCTGTAACATGTAAAAAATGAGTGTGGATATTCTCCCTTGCATTGCTGCCCGTTTGAGGCACTTTACACAGTGAACTTAAACAAGTGACCTTTATAACCTTATATGTTTCAGTTTTCCATTGGTAATGGTACAATAAAGGATCATGAGAAATAAATTAAAAGAGAAGTTTTTTGGTGCAAAAATCTTTGAAATTATGCATTTTTTTTAATAATAGAAATTGCCATGATCTTCTAGGGACCCCTATATTCTCTCACTGAAAATTTAGTGAGGATGTATTTAGGAAGCTAAATACAGAGATATACTAACTTTTAATCAACCCAGTACAGAGCAACCCCAATTCATTGCCTGGAGCAGGGAGAGTGATTTTTCAAACGGGATTTTTTCCCAGAAATGCTTGTTTTATGAAACTTTATCCAACTAAATGATAGGAGAAAACAAAGCTGAATGTTACATGGCCGGGTCGTCCCAGCTACTTGCTGTTCCAGAGGTCTCAGTGACTAGGTCCTGGAGTCCTGGAGAGCGGAGTAGGAAGCTGATGGAAGCAGAGGCCTCCTATGGGACTAGGTCAGGGTCACTTCCTAAGTGAGGCTAGCATTTTAAACCCAAGACTCAGTTCATGCCTTCTGTAAGATTTGATGACTAAGCGAGACAAACCACATGTATGTACATTTTGTTTGTATTTTATAGCAAATTGAAGTTGAGATGTTTAATGTTTACTGTGCTTAGAAATAATTTTTTTTACACTGCGTTTAGCAAAAAGTAGAAACCGTTGTTTGGTAATTTTGTTGCTTTTCTCTTGTGCTTTACTCTTGGCAGGTACCCCAACGTCAACATTCATAATTTCACCACTAGCTGGAGGGATGGCATGGCCTTCAATGCACTGATACACAAACACCGGTAGGTCAGATGCAATTGCTGCCATTCTTCTGTAGCTGCACATCTGGGTGGGTTTTGATGTTCTTCTTCACCATCTTAGGTGGTGGGTGTGCCTGCATTCCAAGTGAGGACAATAAAAGAGAGAATGTGTAAATTGCCTCAGACAAGTAAACAAGTTTGTACATTTTCTCCTGGGATCAGATTCCATAGTTGGATGACTGCATAGTATCATCAAGATTTGTTTCACTAAATGATTATTTCAGCATCTTTGGATAATCGTATCTTGCTGGTTGCATGATTTGTGTCCCAACGGTGATTCTTGTTGTGTTCTGTGTAGGCCCGACCTGATAGATTTTGACAAACTGAAGAAATCCAATGCACACTACAATCTTCAGAATGCATTTAACCTGGCAGAGCAGCACCTGGGCCTCACTAAATTGTTGGACCCTGAAGGTAAGGACTGACAGATAAAATGTAGCACCTCTACAATGACCACATACTTTGTCCAAACACTGTGCTTCAGGAATTATCAAAGGAAGAGGAGCTTAATTTTGGTTAGGTCAGTTACTTGCGGATTGGTGGAAAGAGTGGCATTTTAAAAAGAAAGATAAATGTGATTTAAGCACAGTCTGAAAGAATAGGCATGTCAAGCAGAGGGACTCATGTGATCCAAGATGCAGAACAAAGAAAGAGGAAGACGCACTGAAGGGCTTAGTAAGTAGGAATGAGTGTTGAGGATACTGGAAGGGTTAACCTCTGGAAGGTAGATTGGGCCTACCAGTAAGACTGTAAAGATTATTCAGCACACACTAGAGAGTCATTGAGAGTTCTGACAGCTGTGATCCAAGTGTCCCCAAGGAATGCTGTTGACTGACCTTCACCCAGAGGTGACAAGCAGAGACTAGGGATCAAGCCCTTGTTAGGAAACTGCTCTTTGCAAATGGAAGGGGCTTTCAGAAAAAGGGGACAGACAGGCGGAGGAGGAGCCAGCGTGCAACAGTGCCTGCTGCCACCTGACTGGGCTGTCCTCTCTGAAGCTGATCTCTCCTGGTCGTGGGTCCCTGCAGCCTGATGGACAGCAGGGGGACCGGCGTAGTGCTGGCTGATGTGCAGCAGACCCCTAGGCTGTTGCTAAAAATCCCACTTGTAGGATTTTTTTTTCACCAAGAGCTCTCATGCTTTTTCTAACTGTGAGAAGCATTTACAACATAAGAGGATTTGTAGTCCTGCAGTTTACAGGCCCTCTCAGCTGTGAACAAATAACAGAGAAAGGAAGAGAAAAAAGCGAGTGTATGTGAGTGAGAGTTTAAAGTTCTTATAAATATAGAACAGGAAGTTTAACTCCCCAAGGGCAGTTAGAGGTCATGAGGCTGCCAAGCAGGCTTCTTGCTGTTTTCCAATGCATTAGATTGACTGATAGGCTCACTACAAGAAAGGCTGAGATAAAATTATCTTTCTGCTAGCCCATTACATGATTTCTCAATGTAAATATAACTAAAATTTCTTGAGTTGCAGTAAATCTCCAGCTTAACCCCTTCTTCATTGTGGAGTTTTTTCTTTAGCCCTGGCTCTTTGTGATTTGATAAAGAACTTTTTTTTTCTATTCCAATGACAATATTTTTTTTTAGTAACTCGCTCATTAGTTAATCTTTTTAATCACTGCTCAGTATGAGAAGGGGACTGATGTCTCCTGGATCACAAGATGTGGAACTAAAAGAAGCGGCTGGTGTCACCTGATCTTGATTATTAGTTATCCATAGCTGTTATTAGTTGTCTAGTGACTCAACGAGCATCAGCTAAGATGTCTGCAGATAAGTTTTAAAAAGCACAAGCAAGTTTTTCCTGCCCCTGTTCCAGTTATGTCAACCTTTTTTGTTGATTAAATCGCATGCAGGGTTGGCTATATTTTTTTCCTGTCTGCCATTGTGTCCACTGGGCACATGTTGATGGAGCTGAGCAGACGTAGGAGCATGGTGTGGGAACAGTAAGCTCTGGGTCTAGTTGAGCTGCCGTCAATTACCTGCTAACCCCAGATAGGGAGGCTGCCAGCCTGGGTCCCAGTGTTCTCATGTTCCAGTAAGAGAAGCACTCTTGCTTTGAACGGGACTGCTGGGCTAGAAATGAAGGTGTATATTTGCGGCTCATTGAAAAAGAGCCTTTGAGGGCCTGGCACATGGTGGCTAAAGTCCTCACTTTGCATGTGCTGGATCTCATATGGGCCCTGGTTTGTCCCAGCTGCTCCACTTCCCATTCAGTACCCTCATTGTGGCCTGCGAAAGCAATAGAGGATGGCCCAAAGCCTTAGGACCCTGCACCCATGTGAGAGACCTGGAAGAAGCTCCTTGCTCTTGACTTCAGATTGGCTCGGCTCCGGCTATTGCGGCCACTTGGGGAGTAAGCCAGCAAAGGGAGGATCTTTCTCTCTGTATCTCTTTCTCTCTCGGCCTTTCCAATAAAAATGAATTTTTTAAAAAAGCCTTTGATGCCTTCATTAAGAGCTATCCTGGGTTTTCTCTTCCTAATGGATCCCAAGTTGATTCTGTCATTCAGTGTTACCATTACCTCAAAGACTTGTCGTTTTTATTCACTTGTTCTCATTATATTTTTGGCCATTTACTTTATGCAAAGCAAAAACACACTAGCACTTCAGGAGGTGAAGTGTTTTATTTCTTGGGAACAAGTTCCCGCAGAAAGGCTGTGAGTCGATTTAAAGTTCTGGGGGAACAGGAGGGAGACTAATTCCAGCTGCAGTGATCAGTAACAGCTGGATCAGAGTGGGGACTTCTGACCTGAGGCTTGAAAAATCCAAAGGAGTCAATGAGGTAGGGAAGGTCATTTCAGGCCAAAGGAGGCTTGAGTGAAGGAAGCATATTGAAAATTGTGAGGTGCATATGGGAGACTGTCAGGCACCAGGTTTGGTTCAGATACAAGTGTATAGTGAAGTGGCAGGCTTTAGACTTACAATTGTGTAGATTAGGACTTGGCACTGACATAATGCTTGATGAATACTGACAGATGGGATAGATTGAGCTAAGAGGGAGTATGTTCCCAGCTTCTAGGTATACCATTTGAAGTAGGGAGTAGGGAAGGTGAGGGAAGGAGCCGTTGTTTGGAATCTGGTTGTGTTGGTGACGGGTCACATCAGAACCATGAGAAAGAACTTGATGGCTTACAAGCATGGGTAACAGGGAGATAAAGATATCCCAAGTCTAAGTGACCTGGGGAGACTCTGGTTCCATATTCAGAAATGAGGACTCCACAAGCAGAAGCCTGGTTTGACGTAGGGAGAGGTCAGAGAGGTGAACACAGTGTATCTGGAGAAAGCATTTTGTGAATATTCACATGATCAATAGATCCCTGAGGTGACTCATTCCTCATTACCCTTAAAATCAGTGCAGTGATGACAGAAGGCTGAAATATTAAATGGAGATGTGGGACAATTCAGTGTGTTTGAGAGTTGTTGTGGGTTGTTGCTGCTGCCTGGGAGGTGGCCCTGTGTGCTATGCTCTGACCAGAGACTGCTCTGGGTTACAGATATCAGCGTGGACCACCCTGATGAGAAGTCCATCATCACCTATGTGGTGACTTACTACCACTACTTCTCTAAGATGAAGGCCTTGGCTGTGGAAGGAAAACGGATCGGAAAGGTGAGCAGGTTTCTCACTGGTCTGGCTTACTCTCCAGCCGGTGCAGTGTTAGATGGGAACCTCTTTGTCCCAAGGGGTTTGGGAGGCAGAAATGTGGCTAAAATATTTAGAAGGTGATCAGGAAGAATCTCAGACCCAGAGGTTGCCCTCTCCTCAGCTTCCCAGAAAATTAACTGCCTGTTAAAAATCTGACTGAGTTGGGTGACATCCTGGGTATGAAGCCCTACCCATTGTGGCTAAGAAAGATTGCCCAATTTTATGGGTTTTGCTTCTCATTTAGCTGATACTCACTTGCCACGGTTGTCAGAAAAGCTTAGCCCAGATGATACTGTTCTCTCCAAGCAGTGGGTTGCAGAATTCATGAAACGGGATGAAATGAGAGCCCTTTTTGTTCCTCTAGGCATTTTTGAAGGTTAGGCTGCTAGAAGTCATTCAGAATCTTGGAATTTGGAAGGTCGATGAACCAGTCAGTTACAATTGAATTAAGCTGTCGCTGATCCCAAATACAAGCCACAGTCTGGTTGTCAATTAACAAAGAATTCCTTTAATTAAAATACTTGTGCCAGAGTAGTACAGACTTGTTCCAAACTCCATCATTAGGTGTGCATGTGGTTGGATAGGGTTATTGCCATGTTGTCCTTACCTGGGAAGACAGATCTCAGTTTTTCTAAAACATTCATTTTCAGGTGCTTGATAATGCTATTGAAACAGAAAAAATGATTGAGAAGTATGAATCACTTGCCTCTGACCTCCTGGAGTGGATTGAACAAACCATCATTATTCTGAACAACCGCAAATTTGCCAACTCACTGGTCGGGGTACAGCAGCAGCTCCAGGCATTCAACACTTACCGCACGGTGGAGAAACCGCCCAAGTAAGATGCTAATAGTAATGTGTGACCATTGACAAGGGAAAGGAGAGCCTTGCAGCCAACAGGCCCCTATTTTCTGTCTTCTGTGACAGAAATGCCTCTCGGCAACAGCCTACCCTCCCTTTGGCTTGATTCTGTGTTGCTGAGATGTTTTAAACCATGCTCTTCTTGAGCCCTTTCCAGTTGAAATGAGCCAGTAACATTGGAGATGCATGACAATATTGTGAAATGATACAGGTCCCACAGCTGTTATCCAGTCCCTCATTCCCAGTGTGTGTTTCAGAATTCCCTGTTTTTAGACTGTAGAAAAGTAGCAGAACACATAATGTTATATAAGACTGTGGGTGGACCTGAGGCAGCAGCCTACAAGGATTTGTAGCAAAACTCATAAATATTAATTGTGTTAGACAGTTTTGCCTTTCCCCTAAAATTGTTGAATAAGGCTTGTGGATCTTACCTCTTACCTACTGCAGTTTCAAAGTCATTATTTTTCTGAAAACAGCACTTGGTTGCAACTTCCTTGGCGATGTCTCTGAAAGCCATGGAGAATTACGCTTGGTAGACCTTCCAAATAATTCATGCTAAATGCATTCAGCTGCGTGCTCTGAACAAAGTCAGTCCATTATCCAGGACTTAGGGTTTAAACCCTGGTGGAGGTGATTAATAGGAGCGTATTGTGTACCCTCGACACCCTCACATGTAAATCCCAGCGACAACAAACTACCACAAACATGTTCAAGGCTTTTGAAACCCAGTAACAAACCCATAGCTGTCTCTCTAAGATGCATTTCACGTAAATCAGACCCAAGATAAATGGCTCTTAAAATCGTGTGTGGCTAAATGATATGTCTTTTCCTTCTATAACAAATGAGTTTTTCTTCTGGAACAAACCAGAGACCGTAAATAAAGTGCATATGGTTGCTTATCTCTGTGCTTAGATTTACTGAGAAGGGGAACCTGGAGGTGCTACTCTTCACGATTCAGAGCAAGATGAGGGCCAACAACCAGAAGGTCTACATGCCCCGGGAGGGGAAGCTCATCTCTGACATTAACAAGGTGAGACGGATCCGCCCAGTCCTTCTCCAGGCTTCAGGTGCCATCTTGGTCTTGACTGCCTAGAGGCCTGGAGACTGGACTGGCTCCATCCCTTCCTGCCAAGTGGCAGAATGGCAGATGTCACTCAGGGTGCCAGAAGGTCAGGCTAGTGCTTGGGATAGGCTGCTCACTGGAGGTGGGGAAGGGGGTGTTTCGGGGTGTGGGAGGTTTACTGCCGATTGCCGTGTTCCTCAGATGTGTATTGCATTTATCCCTCACCTGGGTCAGGCAGTCAGCTCACACACCTTTCAAGTACAGAAAAGCAGAACCCTTATTTTGTTTGGAGTATCTGCAGTTTCAGAATTTTGCCAGCAGCATAATTTCCAGCTAGAAATTCGAAAAATCCAGAACTCTGATGTCTGTTGTACACACTTAGATTCTTTTAAGTAAAAAACTTTTGTTGTTCTTAATGTGAAACAAGATACATTTCATAGGAATGAATTTAATGTGAAAAGGTGTTTGGGATTTTGAAAGAAGTACTCATGCATAAATTAAAGACCAATGACTCATGAATGGAAACATCACCATAGAATTTATTTTTTTGAAAATAACTGCCAAATAGGATAATAAGTTTGCTTTTTGTGAGTGATCACAACTGTTTGAAGATAATTATTTCTTTTTAAAGTGGAAAGTTTATACTTTGATCATATTGCCCTATAGCTACATTGCTGTTTTTCTTAGTATAACTCAGGATCTTTAGATTTAGATTAGGGATACTGTTCCCATGGATCCACATGGAGAGAATAGTTTTCCCCTTAAAGCTTGAAAGTCATTGAAGGTGGGAATGTTTTGTTGTTGTTGTTGTTGTTGTTGTTGTTGTTGTTGTTGTTATTTTGGTGGGGGTTTTTTTTGAGTCCTTGGGTCTTTTTTGGGAAATGCTAGCTGTTGGCAATAAACGGGAAGGTCTTTGAACATTGCCAAAAACTTACCACCACCACCTCTCCACCCCCACCCCTCCCCTCATTTCTGTAGGCCTGGGAAAGACTGGAAAAAGCAGAACACGAAAGAGAACTGGCCCTGCGGAATGAGCTCATCAGACAGGAGAAACTGGAACAGCTGGCCCGCAGATTCGATCGCAAGGCAGCCATGCGGGAGACGTGGCTGAGCGAGAACCAGCGCCTCGTGTCCCAGGTCTTGCCCATCCCAGGGGTCATCCCGGCGCACGAGCCGTAGCCAGGGGGCCCAGGTCCATGCTGTGCTCAGAAGCGGCTGGGACTGTCATGTCATCTTGCCCACTTCCTGTGAAGAGGATGTTTATAATTTGCAGTATACTTTCTCTTCTATTTATCTAACTTTTCATAGATTTGGAAGCGGTTCAAGAACAGAGTTTATTTAGAGACAGTGAGTGTGTGTGAACCACTCACATTCAGTTTTGGAAATTCCTTCCCTTTTCCTCCATCTTTGACCAACCAGCCAAGCCTTCAAAGCAGTTAAGACTACCAGACAATGAATAGATGTGACTTGGGCACAACAAAAGCTGTCACTTGCTCCAGTCCCTGAAGTCATATGCTAGGTGGCAGTGGCAGGTTCCTGGTTTGCCTTCTAGCAGGGTATCTACATTCCAAGCAGGGAGTTTGAAGGAGACCAGTGGGGCTGGGGGACTCTGCAGCCAACCCTGGCTGCTTTCTGTTTCTTCCATTCTGTTGGATGACTTTTTAAACTTTTTTTGTGTATTTTTTTTTTTTTCTTCTCATTCTGTTTCTCTGTAGGACAACTTTGGATTTGACCTTCCTGCCGTTGAGGCCGCCACGAAAAAGCATGAAGCCATTGAGACAGATATTGCCGCATACGAGGAGCGTGTGCAGGCCGTGGTGGCTGTGGCCAGGGAGCTGGAGGCTGAGAACTACCATGACATCAAGCGCATCACAGCCAGGAAGGACAATGTCATCCGGCTCTGGGAATACCTGCTGGAACTGCTCAGAGCCCGGAGGCAACGTCTGGAGATGAACCTGGGGCTGCAGAAAATATTCCAGGAAATGCTCTACATTATGGACTGGATGGATGAAATGAAGGTAACACTTGACCGGAAGGACAGGGGGCCAGAGCTGTTCCAAGCAGACCTGCCTGGTGGAGCTCACCCAGTAACTTCCTGGAAGACAGTTGTGCAGCTTTTCTCATTGCCTGCTATTATTGTCAAAGCCGGAGGAGGCCATGCTACCGTAGGAGCTGGTTCCCCAGTTAAGTGAAACGCGGCATGTGACTAGTAGCTGGAGGTCTGTCGGTGTGGTTTAGATCTATCTGGTAACAGGCACATTCTTGTGTAGGCCATCAGCCACCCTGTGGTGGTGTTTGTTTTCAGTGCTTTAAAGGTGAAGCAGCTTTCTGTGTCTAGGATCTTCCTGTGTGTGAATGGTACTGCTTTGCAGCAGGGGCCTGAAACGGGTAGTGTGGGCAGGTGGGAAAGCCCACAGCAATGTGTACAGAGCACAGGTTAGGGATCAGACAGCAGGATTGACATGGTCACTGCCTGGGTTCTCTGAGCTCCTTTCTTTTTCTTGAATGGACATGGTCTTTACCATGCACCCAATGCAGGGTGAGGAGTGAGTGGGGCGGTGTGTATAGGTTCTAGGGAAAGGCTAGTTGAGCATGGGTGCTCATGCTGCTTTGTGCTTTCACTCCTGTTGCTGACAGCTCTGGACATAGAGTCCCATGCTTTCCCCCTTCCCAGGTTTGCCATGGCGTGTGCTGTGTCTGTGTCCTCTGATACAGGTCATGGCGTGCTTATCCATGTCAGGCACTTCTCCAGATGGGATACATCGAGCCTTGCACAGAGGACAGAATAGGGCAACCTTCAGGCAGTGGTGCGAAGCCTCCTTTATCTCAGCACATTGTGTTCCCAACCCCGACCTTAGGCAAGAGATTGCCTTCCCAGGATGTAAGCCTTCATCTACTCCTTACCTCTTGAGTTTCTATTTCCTGACAGAGCTGCAAGGTCACCTGATCACTTCAGGTTTCTCTCCAATTGTCCCAGGTTTATAATGTTCTTGGATATGGTCTGTGTTGACCTGTTAAAATAGAAATGTTCATAAAATATACCGGAGAGAGACTTGCCATTTTGTAAATCATGGTGTGATAATGCAGGTGAGGCAGACTTGCATAAGTCGAATCTAAAGTCTGTCCCAAAAAGGTATAGAATAAGGCAACCCAAATTTGGTTGTTTGATAGATAATTTAAAAAAGAAGGAAAATGTCTGTGGGTTCAAGTTTAAATTCAAGACGTTGAGTCTACTAAGTGACAGTTGCCTGACCCTGCTCTCCTTATTTGGTCTGAGATATGCCCAGAAGCTCTCCAGCTGGGTTGCTGTCCTATTGATTGTGCACTATCCTAGAGACAAGCCATGAAGCTCCTAACAGAGGAGGAGCATTCACTTAAGGGATGTAACATTCAAGAGGTTTCTTTAAATGGTCACAAGTCTGTGTGACCTTTCTGCCTTACCTTTTTGACAGTTGTTCCTGCAGCGGTTCAGGAGGTCCCCATTCACATCTTTGATGTAGATCCGTCCTCTTCCTTGAATCCTGTGCTTTTTCATGTTGACTTGACTTGCTTGTCCCCAAGGTAGACTTGGTCCTTAGCTCCCGTTCTCTCAATGCTGGCACTGTATTCCGTTTCATTGCTGGATATGTTTTGTCTGCCATTGTTTCCTCCAACGATTGCGAGTCAGGGACAGGCGGGAGGGAAGGTGCAGCTTGGAGGCCACCTTTCTGCTTATCCAGACACGATGCAGCGCTGCAGCCAAGGGTGCACCCGCAGATGTCCATTCTGTTGCTTCTTGTGCACAGGTGCTATTATTATCCCAAGACTATGGCAAGCACTTGCTTGGCGTGGAAGACCTGTTACAGAAGCATGCCCTGGTGGAGGCGGACATCGGCATCCAGGCAGAGCGCGTGAGAGGGGTCAACGCCTCTGCCCAGAAGTTTGCAACCGATGGAGAAGGTAAGAACGAATGGTTGTGACGATTAACCCCCAGTCACCAGACACCTACTTTATGGAAGTATGTAAGTCAGAGGTGGCAGGGCATTGGTGGGCAGTGGGGGCAGGATTTCTGGTAGGCGGGTTTATCTGCTGCTCTGACATAGGGGCGCAAGGTTCAATGGAGAGGCCTGCTGAACACATTCATGCTTTCTGAAGTGGTTGTGTTGCTGGTTTTGAATGACATGTCCTTGACCCCGACCCTTACCAGGCCAGCCTTGGAGCAGATGTGGAGCAGTCACTCCATGTTGTTTCTCTGGCAGCTCATGACTCTCACACCTCTCTTTTAGACAATGTGTAGGAGGATTTAGCTTTACTTCTTACATTTACATTTTTTTTTTTAAGAAACCGTTGAAGGGAGCTACCTTCCTTGATGATCCATATGCTTCCTTGGAACAAAAGTGATCACTTTGCAGTTGGATTAAAAAAATAATACTTAACATTTTCCCTCCCCTGTGTTTGCATCGGCAACCTAGAAGGCGTTCTCTTGCCCTCTCACTTGGCCCTGAACTTAAAATTGAACTGATAGTAGTTGAGTAGGAAGGACTTGAGATAGATCTCACTGCCTGTGGATAAGCCAGCATCCTTGCCAAACTCCACCACACACCCACATTCCTTCTTTGGTGTTAAACAGGTTACAAGCCCTGCGACCCACAGGTGATCCGAGACCGCGTAGCCCACATGGAGTTCTGCTATCAAGAGCTGTGCCAGTTGGCAGCCGAGCGCCGGGCACGCCTGGAAGAGTCCCGCCGCCTCTGGAAGTTCTTCTGGGAGATGGCAGAAGAGGAAGGCTGGATACGAGAAAAGGAGAAGATTTTATCTTCCGATGACTACGGGAAGGACCTGACCAGCGTCATGCGCCTCCTCAGTAAGCATCGGGCATTTGAGGATGAGATGAGTGGCCGCAGCGGCCACTTTGAGCAGGCCATCAAGGAGGGTGAAGACATGATCGCCGAGGAGCACTTCGGGTCCGAGAAGATCCGTGAGAGGATCACATACATCCGGGAGCAGTGGGCCAACCTGGAGCAGCTGTCGGCCATCCGGAAGAAGCGCCTGGAGGAGGCCTTACTGCTGCACCAGTTCCAGGCGGATGCCGATGACATCGACGCCTGGATGCTGGACATCCTCAAGATCGTCTCCAGCAATGACGTGGGCCACGACGAGTACTCCACCCAGTCCCTGGTCAAGAAGCACAAGGACGTGGCTGAAGAGATTGCCAACTACAGGCCCACCATCGACTCGCTGCACGAGCAGGCCAGCGCTCTCCCCCAGGAGCATGCTGAGTCTCCAGACGTGCGGGGCAGGCTCTCAGGCATGGAGGAGCGCTACAAGGAGGTGGCGGAGCTGACACGGCTGAGGAAGCAGGCACTGCAGGACACCCTGGCCCTGTACAAGATGTTCAGTGAAGCTGATGCCTGCGAGCTCTGGATCGATGAGAAAGAGCAGTGGCTCAACAACATGCAGATCCCAGAGAAGCTGGAAGACCTGGAGGTCATCCAGCACAGGTGAGTGAGGGCCATTGCTGAGCGGCTCCCTGGGCTGCCCCTCGCGACCACCAGTGGCCCCCTGAAATGACATCCTATTGAATTGCCTTATTGCCTTTCAGATTTGAGAGCCTAGAACCAGAAATGAACAACCAGGCTTCCCGGGTTGCAGTGGTAAACCAGATTGCACGCCAGCTGATGCACAGTGGCCACCCGAGTGAGAAGGAGATCAAAGCCCAGCAAGACAAACTCAACACGAGGTAGGCAGGAGGCCCGGGAGCATGCAAGATCCCATGCGTGGGGCTGAGGTGGGTGAGGCCAGTTCTGAGCCTTGCTGGCAGGGATTTCCTGAGTGACGTCGTTGACATTGTGGCACTGGCACCCACCTTGCGACACATGTCCTCCTTGTACCAGCAGGATCTCTCAGGATGGCCTGGTAGGGCAGGAGGAGGGAATCAAGTCCACTCGGCACCCATCCCTTTCTACCTCATACATAGGGCCTTGGAGCAGCCTGTCCTAGCATGGTACCAGGCAATGAGGCGGCACCTGTGCTGTCCCTTGTAAAGTGATTTCTAGAACAGGACCATGGCATGTGTGAGACTAAATTTGGTGAAGTTCCTAACCACCGCGGATCGACCTTTGTTCCAGTCTTATCTTTCTTGAACAAACACTTCTGAGTAGGTTGCAGTTGCTGACCGGCCTCAGATCTAAAGGTTACTGCCAGCCTTTGGTTTCGGGAACTTGATTAGGAGATCCAGAATGGGCGTACCATGTATGGCAGACGTAGGGTACTTGAATCTCTGAGGAACAGATGGGTGGTAGCTGCTCATACTGGAACTCTTTAGCATGTTCATGTTTGGTTCAGGCTCTTTACAGATTTTACTGTGTCTCTCACATGCCAGATGAGGTGATTTTCCCAAGGCAGCTACTTGGGGCAGAGATAGAAGCAGGAAACGCAGCTTTGACTGACCCTGTTCATTCTGTTTCCCTGCTATGGATTCAGTCTGCCTGTTTTCACTCCACACTCACAGGTGGAGTCAGTTCAGAGAGCTGGTTGACAGGAAGAAGGATGCCCTGCTGTCCGCCCTGAGCATCCAGAACTACCACCTTGAGTGCAATGAGACCAAATCCTGGATTCGGGAAAAGACCAAGGTCATTGAGTCCACCCAGGACCTGGGCAATGACCTGGCCGGTGTCATGGCCTTGCAGCGGAAGCTGACAGGCATGGAACGGGACTTGGTGGCCATTGAGGCAAAGCTGAGCGACCTGCAGAAGGAGGCGGAGAAACTCGAGTCAGAGCACCCTGACCAGGCCCAGGCCATCCTGTCTCGGCTGGCCGAGATCAGCGACGTGTGGGAGGAGATGAAGACCACCCTGAAGAACCGGGAGGCCTCCCTGGGAGAGGCCAGCAAACTGCAGCAGTTCCTGCGTGACCTGGATGACTTCCAGTCCTGGCTCTCCAGGACCCAGACGGCCATCGCCTCGGAAGACATGCCCAACACCTTGACCGAGGCCGAAAAGCTGCTCACCCAGCACGAGAACATCAAAAATGAGATCGACAACTATGAGGAGGACTACCAGAAGATGAGGGACATGGGCGAGATGGTCACCCAGGGACAGACAGACGCCCAGTACATGTTTCTACGGCAGCGGCTGCAGGCCCTGGACACTGGATGGAACGAGCTCCACAAAATGTGGGAAAACCGGCAGAATCTCCTGTCCCAGTCTCATGCCTACCAGCAGTTCCTTAGGGACACAAAGCAAGCCGAAGCCTTCCTTAACAACCAGGTAGCCCTCACCTCTGTCCCCTTCCTGTTTGAGCGGGCCTGAGCTATCTTTTGGAGTGGTGTGGCCAGGGCATGTGTTTAAGTAGTTCCAGTGTGAAGTCAGCTGGGTCATTAAGAGGCTGATTGACTCCTAAGGCTTTGAACCCATCACAGCCTATGGGACAGGGATTGGTGAGTTCACCAATGTAGAATGTAGAATGCCTTGCAATGTAGAATGCCTTTTCCATTGCTGTTGAGTGGCCCTCATATCCTTAATGTGTCTTCATGAATCGAGTTGTCAGCCCCATTCTGAGCAGCTATGCCAGCCTCATCTCCTGGATGGTCAGGGCCTTTACCTGAGGATACCAGACAAAGCTTAGAGAAGGAACTGCAGCCTAGGATCATGGGTAACGTCAAGGCCATTACTGTCTTGAAGGAGAAAGTGAAGATTGTGTCACTTTTGCCTTTATGACCACATGGCAAAGTCCTAGTGGCTGATTCGTAAAACTTTGACTAATTTCCTCTCTCACCAGGAAAAAAAAATGTAAAGCATTTAGCCAGTTAGGGAAATTAATCACTTACAATATCCCATTGGGTTTTTTGTCCTCCAAGTCTTTTGTCTGATTTAGTAAGTTGTTCTGTGTAAGAGTGAAATGCAGCTAGTGTTGCAAAATGCATTACATGGAAATGTAGAACACGGAACAAGGATCCTTTCACTAGCATGTTGTCCTGATCTGATCCCCCCTCCTTTTTATAAATAAGGAATATGTGTTGGCTCATACTGAAATGCCCACCACCTTGGAAGGAGCTGAAGCAGCTATAAAAAAGCAAGAGGACTTCATGACTACCATGGACGCCAACGAGGAGAAGATCAATGCTGTTGTAGAGACCGGCCGGAGGCTGGTGAGCGATGGGAACATCAACTCGGATCGCATCCAAGAGAAGGTGGACTCTATCGATGACAGGTATGGTCCTCTGAGGTATTGTGTCCTGAGAGTCTGTCTGCAGCTTCTCGGTGACACGGAAGGCCGTGGCACTGTAGGTGCACGTTTCAATACAGACATCTATCCGAATCCATCTACCAGAAAATCACTTAGAAAATGAGTGAGCAGGGCAAGACTGCCTGAGACTGCTTCTTGTAAGACAGGTGCAAGTGTCCACAAAAGAACAGGAAAACAAGAAGAGATGCTGCTTTCGTCCTCAGAGTCAGTGCCCTGTAAGAGCTGCAGAGCAAAACAGCAGTCAGGTGTAAGCCATGCTGCTTGAGTTGGTGGCCTATGTGTCTCCAGTGTGACCCTGACAGCCAAGGCCACATCCATCCGCGTGAGACATTCAGAAGCCTGATGAGAGAGAGCAGGAAGGGAGGCTGAGATCTGTGTGTCCCAGGTACCTGGCAAAGCCATGGAGGAATATAATGTGCCCATTTTTACAAAATCGTGGTAGATAATGTAGTGATGATGAGAGAAAGGCTGTTTTCCTTGTCTACCAGGGCAGCTCCGGAATTTTGTGTACTCTTCTTTTATTCATCTACGTTTATGTTGTGTGTGTGTGTTTGTACGCATGCTTTCTTTTTTGGTATGTATGGCACTTTTTTAAGATTTTTGTCTGTGGTTCAAGGCTGATTGCCATTTGACCCTAACTTTCTGCCCTATACCCCTTACTCTCCTTACTTTGTTTACCAAAGTGAGTGGTCGGCACAGGTCCGAGTGTGGATGTGCTAGCATGGGCCAGTTCTGGGTCAGCACCTGTGCTGCTGTGTCTGGGTCAGTCACTGGTTCCAGCCAGTCCCCTGCGATCCCAGTTGAGGCTGGGCGTAACGGGCTCACTTGGAGAGTGACGTCAGCAGAAAGCAAGCTCTTCCTCCCAGCTTCTCACCTGTCTTTCAAGTGCCCTGACAAAGCTGGATGATGTGCTGAGTCTCTTCCTGTTGTTCCCCACCTCCAGGAGGATCTCCTGGGACCTGGGCCACTTAAAATAACATGTGGGTTGTAGAGTGGGGTGATTTTCCTTTCCTCATTAGTAATTTAATTTCACATCTTTTGCTTTGAAAACTATTACTAAAAGACAATCGCTCCACCCAGCCCTTTGTAGATGAGTTTAAAAGCCAAGGATTGCACAAGCATCATCAGCCTACAAAAGCAGCAGCGCATTCTTCCCCAGCATTAACTCTCGTTGTTTATGCATGTGGTCATTTCCCCTTCCTCCATGGTGGCTGCACACAGCTGGTCTCCCGCAGCCAGTCTGGGCCGTTAGGGACGCGTGTAAGATGGGCAGGCCTGCGGCTGCCTTGCTGCTTCCTCAGTTTATTTATGCATCCCAGTAGTGCAGCTGCATGAGGTCGTAGGAAGCAGGTGATGTTGTTAGGACAGGGTTCCAGGATATGAGAGAACATTTCAGCTGCCCTGAACTTCTTTTTTGCCCTCAACTGAAATCCTGAACTCCTTGTTTTTCTGAGTTCCAGAAAAAAAAAATCGCAAAAGGCTCCTGTACCATTGGTAGCCTTGGGAAGAAGTGAGAGGGAATTTGCCTTAATTTAGCACCCAGCCTGTTCTCATGCTGGCTGCTGTTCACCAGGTTCTGGTTTCACTTGACTGTACCCAGTGGCCTTGAGTCTGAAACTAATTGCAGAAGACGTTTTGTCTGTCAAAAAAAATTGCGCAAACCCGTGAGTTGAGGCTGTTGTAAGGACAGGTGCCAACTGGGCTTGTAAACCTTCCCGTCCAGTCAGCCCGTGCAGAGACGCTATGGTGCTGCAGTGAGGCCCTCCTCCCAGACTGTAGTCACTGTAGTGTGCCAGACATGCTGAGGACGGCTCTCCCTCACCACCTAGCTTGTTGAAGCAAAAAGGCACCGGAATAAAAACCCCGTCTCTAAGGCATGTGGATGGGCAGCGCTGGGCTTCAGAGTGCTTATCACAGGAGGGGTGGAGAGGGAGGGACACGGCCCCACTTCCTAAAGCAAGACCCCCTCGCACAAAGGAAACTGCTCCCTCACCCCGTGTAGCAGACACATGGTGGGGCTTGGGGGAGTCTCTTGTGGTACGGATAAGCAGCCTCAGAAGCCTGGTTAAAGAGTTCAGGAATCATCTGCCTCGTGGGGTGGGGAGCTCTTTTGAGTGTTCTCAAGGGACAGACAGCAGGTGAGAGATGGAAGTTAGGGTAACCTCACCCTGCAGAAGGAGCACTCTGCTGACTGGCGACTGTGGCCACGTCTTAGACGCCCTACCCAACGGTTGGTGGATCCGTGATTGGATCTGGAGAGCCCTTGCTGGCTGAGTGTGCCTTCCCATGACTGCTGTAGGCTTCCCCTGGTCTATAGCCAAGCCATGCTCATTTCTTCCCCGAGTGCTCTCTGAGTCCGCCAGCAACAGTTGTTGGCTGTGGCAATCCTGTTTTTTCCCCTCAGAGCACACGATGCAAGGACCATCAACGTATCTACTCCTAGACTGATGTCACTTGCACACGGGACTCAAAGTCACCTGCCTCCCTTTCTCCTTCCTCAAGGTGCCACTCCAAGGGAAAGTTCAGCTGACAGGCCAATGTTTTGGGCATGCACAAGGCTTGATTGTGTAAGATGTACACTGAAGATGAATTGTATGCTTCTTCCTTAAGGAGTCTTGTCAGATAGTGTTTGAAGTTGTTTTTTAACTCTTATTTCCAGGAACATTAGGGATGCATGTCCTGTAACTGCCAGCCTCCATGACTGTCGCCTGCCACTGCTGCCGTGCTTAAGGGACATGCTGTATCCAAGGGAGGGAAAGAGTAGCAAGTAGTTGTGGTGGATTTTTGTTGTTGTTGTTTATTTGCTTGTTTTAATGGAAAGTCAGATTCTACAGAGAAGGAAGGACAGAGAGAAAGATCTTCCGTCTGCTGGCTCACTCCCCAAATGACGGCAACGGCTGGAACTGAGCTGATCTAAAACCAGAGGCCAAGAGCTTCCTACGGGTCTCCCACACAGGTGCAGGGTCCCAAGGCTTTGAGCTGTCCTCTACTGCCTGTATTTTTTTATTTTTACAAAGCAGTGGTACCTTTAATCCCATCTCTACAGCATACCATTTTGGTATTTGCTTTGTAAGCTGTACCTTGAAGTTTTATTACTGTTCAGCATACATAGGCAAGAGCCATGTAGCTTTATATCTTAAGTCATTTTCTAGATTGATATTTTATCTAATCAACCTAAGCATATTAAAATTTGTTTTCCCGAAGCTGTAAAATTTCTTTGAACTATAAGCAAGCTCAGGTAATTCTGCCTGCCGAGCATGCCCTGTCTGCAGCAGCCAGTGTTCCTCAGGCTTGAGGACCTGTGGCGGCTGTGAGAGCAGAGGGCCGTGCCCCTCTCCTTCCCCGGCTGAGGAAGGCTGCACTGCCGCTTCTGCTGGTTGTTCCGTCGGTGCTTACGGCGAGCCTACATGATATGTGGTACCTTCTCAGGGTCTGTCTCCTGTTTCCCAGAAGCCAGGCAGCACGTATGTGTGCCACACTGCTCTTTCTCAGCCTTGTGTCCTATCAGAGACAGTTCTCGCTCACACCTGCTATAGGGCCTGGCAGGGATGGAGGCCAGACCCTTTGCCCAGGCACATGCAGTGAAAAATGTCCTTGAGAGTCCAAATGAGGAATCAACTATCTTTGTTCACACTTGGTCCTCTCCCTGTTAGCCCTACTAAGGCCCTGAGCCAAGGGAACTCCCTTGCTTGCGTGCTGCAGGAATACCAGGAAGCATGTCCTAGCAGTGCGCCTTGGTGCTCCGTGCGTGGAGCCCACCGTGGCTGCAGTAGCCCCACTGAAGGCAGTCCTTTCACAGCATTCAGGCTGCTAGTCCTCATAGTGGGGGTGTGATGCACATGTCTTCCCCTTGTCTTCCACCAAATTCAGCGGCTCCTTCACACTGTTACAGATTATTTTATTTACTTATTTATTTTTGGTGTGAGGTTTTGTGCTTCAACTTTGTTACCTTTGCCTGTTAAGAGTGCAGTTAAGTGAATTAATCATCTCACAATTGAAAAACCTTCAGTGCTGGATTTTTGCTACAGTTTTGGTGATTTTTTTTTTCTTCTTAATGTGGGAATCTGCCAGGAAACATTTGCTAAAGCTAGCTAGATGATTGTGTTTTCTTAGCCTCTGTGTGTCACCAGCTATGAGCCTATTAAAAATAACTTCAGAGTTGTCTCACAGTGTTCAGATGTCTTTCCTTATCCCCAGCTCAGGAAGCATTTATACCAGATCATTTGGGTGTTTCCTTGGCCCTGTCACATGATGGTTTGATCATTGGGAGACTGCTAAAACCTCTCATTCATGTCTTCTCTTTTGTGTAATTGGGAACTGTAAACTAATTCTCGTCAGGACATGGAGAAATCAAGGAAAGAAACTGATAGCTTCTGGAAAATTTCAAGATTATCTACCTTTCTTTCTTTACAATTACGTCCGTTGTTTTCACAGACACAGGAAGAATCGTGAGGCAGCCAGTGAACTCCTGATGAGATTGAAGGACAACAGGGACCTTCAGAAGTTCCTGCAGGATTGTCAAGAGGTAAGTCGCCCATTGGTCCCTCCCTGGTCTCCAACACTGGCCAGCCAGCATTTGGCTGGAAAACATCCAAGTTGTTAAGTCTAGCAAGGGTAGAAATTCAGTTCACTCATTTGGTTTGCAGATAGAGAAATATGGCACTCTTCTCATTTCCCCATTGTATAAGCTACCACTTAGAGAGACTGGATTATTCCATCTAACGTTATAGAATGGAAATGCATTTTCTGTTATGATAGCCACTAGCCACATGTAGCTATTTCACTTTAAATTTATTAAAATTAAGGAGATTCCGGAATGTGGTTCTTTTGTCATGTTAGCTATATTTTAAGTGTTCGGTTTTCACCTGTGGCTTACGGCTACTGCATTGGACAATGCAGGTGTAGCACAGTTCCATCATCACAGAAAGTTCTAGCGGAAAGTGTATCCTAGGATACTTCATTGCCTAGGAGTATTTAGTGTAAGGTACATTAAAATAGTATGGAAAGAAAGGACTAAAATTGAAACTTTCTCCTGATTAAGAGACAACAATTTTAAAACTACAAGTTAAGTCTATAATTCATTGAAGACTTAAAATACCCATTTTTTACATTTACAGATGTGTACTTAATTTTCTAAGAGCAACAAGCCTGATTTCAAACATGAGGTTTTGACATGTGATGTTAATCTGATGATTCTCCCACTATTTCATGTTGTGCTGGTATATGCATAAACAAACTTTGAAAATCAAAGCCCAAAGCGTGTGTGTGTGTGTGTGTGTGTGTGATCTTTCTGCAAGTTAGTTGGAGAGAATCATCAAGTTTACTTAATATGTTTGAGTTCCTGAGCACTTTGTGTTTTGTTTCTCAAACTGCCACAAAACAGTGAGGAGGCTTAGTCTTCCCTTGGAAGCCAAATGGGATGAGGGCTTTCCACACAAAGCTGCAGGGACCCAAAGGGAGGAAGATGGGACAGGATCAGGGCATATGCTAAGAGCACTGTTCAAGTTCTCACAGATGTGATGTTCAAAGTTGTAGCTGTGTGTTAAATGAAACAGCAGCTGGGATGACAGCACTGTTGAAGCCACACTGGATGGAAGCCTTCCTCCATGTCCAGGAAAGTGCCATCTGTCAAGACTCTTACAGTAGGGTTTAGCAGCTAAACCTTAAGCGGGAAAGCCCTCAACTGTGTAGCTTACGCTCTGCCAGCTCTAAGTGCCATCCTGATGAATCTGGGTCTCTGAGGGATTTGCCCAGAGCCATACAGACTGAAGACGGAAAGGCTTCCTTAGTGACATCTCTGCATTAAGAACCCATTCCAGGATTAGAACTGGCGCCCATGGGGCATGAATCAATGAACAGAAGAGATCTCTCTCTCTCTTTCTATCTGTATGTCTGACTTTCCAATCAAAATAAAATAAATCTTAAAAAAAGAACCCATTCCGATAGAGTGCTCGTGTAAAGCCACATCCGTGTCCCATGCTGAGGCCTAAAGCTGGCTGTTGAGAGTTGCGTGTTGTGCTGCACTGAATACTAGTGGGCCCTTGGCCCTGGAGGAAGTGGAAGAGAGGAAGGAGTGTTTGTAGGCTGGGCCATGCCTTGTGCTTGCTGGTAGACACTGGGTCGCTTTGGTGTCTCCCTCAAGGCAACACCCTGGTCAGTGATGGTGTTTAACCTCACACCATACTTCTGGGCAGTCAGTGGAAGCACATATTCTTGCTTTTAGTGGACTAGTTAATAAGGTGAATCGCATTCCCCTGAACCGTGGTAAATCCCAGGCTAAATCTGAGGAAAAGGGACTCCAGGGACCGAGCACATGAGGGGCCAAGGAAAACTCTTTAACAGAAACCCATTTATATTTGAAATTCTCAGTCACCTGTTTTCCACGTACATATGTGCAGATTCAGCAGAGGAGGTGTGTGGGGAAGGTAAGCGGTGTTTCACAGTGTACCCCTGGAAAATGTCCTCAGAAGGCCTTTAGCTCTTTGTTTACCGGATGTAGGTTAGCATCCTGGGTTCCGAGGAGTTTGCTCCTTAACTGTTCATGGCACACCAAGGGGTCTCCTGCCCGACGGGGGAAGTTGGAGCTGGCCTTTTTACACCCAGCTGATTTACAGCACTCCTGTGACTGTTCTACCAAGTGTCCTCTGTTTTTCGTGGCTCCTCTTGTCCTGCGTGTCTCACTTTGAGCTTCATTCAAAGTTAGTCCAGCCATAGTGTCTCCCGGGATTCTGGGTGCCCCGCACCAACCCCCGAAAGTGCGTGCATGGCAGCAGAATTTAGGTCAGGTTGCAGCCTCCAGAAACCTTGGTGTGGAAACACAGGCGGAGGAGCAGTAAATATTATTCTTTGACTGTAAATCTTCCATCATCCAGGCATTTTAAAACATGCCTTTTAAGCCGGAGTCTCTGGGAAGGGAATGTATGTATGGAGTAGCCCTGCATTTGGAAGCTTACCTCTCCTATGAGTAGACATGTCCAGAGTGCTCAGGGGTCAAAGTCAGTGCCATTACTGGCTGTTATGTCTTTTTCTCCTGGGTGTCTGGGCTGGGGGAGGAGCCGCCTCCGTAAACACAGTCTGAACGGGAGCCGTTGTGGCTCCAGTGGTGCAGAAGGAGCCAGCAGCCACCTGTGCCCAGTCACACCAGGGCACAGGGCAGCATCCTTGCGGTGTGATTTTTATGCGATGTCCCAGACAATGCAAGATAAAGTTCCTCTTGTTTTACTCTTTTTCTCTGCACCTCTTATTTTCTCAGACTTTTTTCTTCTTTCTTTCTTCCTGGGATGGTGGTCTGTCTAGATGTGTCTGGCACAGCAGTGTGAGTTCAGTGCCTTACCCTTAGATTGAGTCAGTGATCAAAGTGCTTCTATCTTTTTCACATCTGCACGGTGCTCTTTTCTGCAGAGAATGAGTGTATTCTTAAATGACCTTTGTAAGTGCACACAGATAATGACTGTAGCTCTGGTTCCAGAATGCTGGCGAAGGCCTGATGAACTAGCACGTTCCATAGCTCCCTTTCATTGTGCTGCATCGCATGATGCTTATCTGTAGGATGATGTGTTCAGCAGAAAGCAGATTTGTTTATAAGCCTCTGATTTTTATGTGGCTTTCTCTGCCTCCTTTTTAAATCCCTCTTGGGTAGGTGGTTCTGAATAGCAAAAATATGTGCATGTCCTTGGCTATTGGAATTTTAAAATGCCTTCTATTGTGTTGAATCTCCGTGTATGTAGAATGCATGGGAAAATGTTATCATTCGCTTTTCTTTTTAACCTCTTTTTCTCTTAGAATGAGTGGGCACAGTGTATCAGATTTTAGCTACTCTGATAACTGCGAAACAGGTCATTCCTTTACTATAGTATGAAAAATACTGCGTGCATCCTTAAGGAGCAGATGTATACAGCCTTTAATGACAGAAGGCTTTAGGAGATCTGCTACTTCATTGTGTTCCTCAGTAAAAACTCATTTTTTAAAAATCCCATGGCCTTTTGCTCTTCTCGCTGTGCCAGTTAAGTTAGGGCTGTACCCCCGAACGCCCAACTTTCAGAACCAGGGGATTCCCGGGTTGCGTCACATGGCTGATGTCATTTCCACAGCACAGGCCTTGTTTGGCTTTAGCAGATTTACTGGGGGGATCCTTTTACAGGTGCGGCTCTGAGTTTGAGGGAAGGGCTTTGGAGGTGCTGATTCTCTAAGGGGCCCTGAGTCTCCCGAGAACCATTCCCAGACCTTTGGGGATAGCACCCTGAAGGCGTTTGGTGGCCATGTGTAGCCACAGCAACTGTTGTGAAGTAAGCCGTCATGGTCTCTCGTGAGGAAGAACACGTGGCCACTGAGGCCGTTTGCTTCTGGTTCTGGGCACAGAGCTCTACCCAAATTAGCACCATGAGTGGGGTAGGAATCAGGACTCTGGCTTGGCCCAATGCTGATAGGCAGTAACAGTCAGGGATTGAGTCAGAAGGAAAGCCAACAGAAGTAGATCCATGGCCTGGTGTTTAGCGGACTCCTGCCCTTGAGCCTCGTTGGAAAACTCCCTCCTCAGATCTGGCTGGCAGGCTTTTTGTAGCTTTACAGAGTTCAGATCCAAGTGGCCCAACACTGCTGTGGAGTGTTCTTGGCCTCAGTGAAAGTATCTGTGGCAAGCTAGCTAGAGGCTTTAGGAAAAAAAAGGTGTGGGTGACTACCAAAGCTATTAAGGAAACATGAAAAGGGGCGTGATTGTTGCCTTAGCCCTGTAGGGCGCCTTATTTAGGCTTTTTTGGCATTTCTGTGGTTGCACCCTTGAAGCAGAGCGGTAAATGAGTGAATTGATTCTAATTCTCGCAGACAGAACTCTGAGAGCAACAAGATTGCCAAATCAAGTAAAAGCGTGTCAATCACAGTGAACATGTTGGTGTAGCCAAACAAAGGTGTTTGGAAGGGAAAAGAGGTCGTGACTCGGGCTGCTTAGAAGAGAATTTTAAACACAAGGTTTTGTGGGGAAGCTGGTTAGGAATGGGCAACAGCTCGAGAGCAGTCTCAAAGAACTTTTGTTCTTCTAGACTGTACATCACACACACAGTTCAAAGTGAAATCCCAGTACAACTTCGGTATAATGGGTACCAATCACAATTGGGAAGAGTTATGAAGTTAAAAAGATGTGGATGCCTGTTGCCATGGAAACTCAAGCAGCACACACAGTATGATGGTTAACACAGCCTTTTTCCCCCCTCCAAAGACATGAGTGATCTGTGATCCTAATCATAATGCCTCCTGACTTTTCATTTTATCTTGTTTTCTAGCTGTCCCTCTGGATCAATGAAAAGATGCTTACAGCCCAGGATATGTCGTATGATGAAGCCAGGAATCTGCATAGCAAATGGTTAAAACATCAAGCATTTATGGCAGAACTTGCATCCAACAAAGAATGGCTTGACAAAATTGAGAAGGTAGGTTAAAACGTTTCATGAGAGTGCCTGCCCACCCCTAACCCTGTTTCTATTTTGTGGCCATGGTGAGAAAACTCCAGTAAGTACCACATTCTCCAGCATGCTTGAGCCTTACCTGATCATTTATAGAAATTAAGCATCTCATAGAAGTCCCCCCTTCCACCTACCACTTCCTGACTTCAACCCACCTACAGGGTGAGGAGCAGAAACCCAGCCAGGTGATAGTTTTCTATGAGTGAAGGCAAGCATCATTTTCTGTGTTGTGTATCTCATCTGTCATGCTGACCAAGTCCCCACCCAGGGTCGCCATCATGTTGATCATACGAACCTGTTTTGTACCACAGCAGCCTTATCAAATACAGTTGCAGAGAATTTTAAAATATGTGTTTAGAATCTTCTGTTTTTCCTGTGTGACTACTCCAGACCAGGCTCTATAATGATTGCTGAAACATGTTCTTTTCGGTTACTTCAACACAACCCGGTAGTGGAAAGGATGCCACCTACCTTCCTATTCTACCTTCACACTTGGTACTGTTTTGGGCTCTTAAAAAATAATAATAATAATAAATATATATATAATATAAAATATAATGTAAAATACATGCTATGATATAAAATATGTAAATATATAAAATATAAAAGTATATAATATATTGTTATAATTATATATTATATTTTATTATATTGTATCATGTTATATTATATTATATTGTATTATATATATATATATATTTTTTTTTATTTATTTTCTTTTTTTACTGGTCCAAAGTCAGAATCCCGGAGCTTCCATCTCCCGTGTGGTGTAGGGGTCCAAGCACTTTGTCCACCTTCTGCTGCTTTCCCAGATATATCAGCAGGAAGCTGGATCAGAAGTAGAACAACCTGTGCCCGTTTGGCTTTACCCACTAAACCCCAGCACTAGCCCCTGTTTCAGGCTCTTAATGATGAAAATAAAGTGCTGTGGGTGATCGCAGAGGCATGAAACGGATGGGATGAAGTCTTAAATTATTCCTCTAAATGTCTCTTTGCTCTAGTTGATAAGTGTTTCAGCCTATGATAGTGTGCACAGATGATTTTGTTGAGCAGTAACCTCAGATGGAAAGACTGAGTGTGTATGTGTGTGTGTGTGTGTGTAGTGAGTTAATCAGTAAATCCCAGAGCAAAGACCTTACCCTGGTCTTTCAGTGACATTCGTTCTGTTTATGACCACACTGGTTTGTGTTCTCTAGGAAGGAATGCAGCTCATTTCAGAAAAGCCCGAGACAGAAGCTGTGGTAAAGGAGAAGCTCACAGGTCTGCACAAGATGTGGGAAGTCCTTGAATCCACTACCCAGACCAAGGCCCAGCGGCTCTTCGATGCGAACAAGGCTGAACTCTTCACCCAGAGCTGTGCAGATCTCGACAAATGGCTGCACGGCTTGGAGAGCCAGATCCAGTCTGACGACTATGGCAAGGACCTGACCAGTGTCAACATCCTGCTGAAAAAGCAACAGGCAAGTGAACTAGCAGCCACGTCCCTGGGCCGGGGCCTGCCTCACACCTCAGTCCTCACCAGTTTTGATTACCTACTGTGTTGTCAGCCGTTGCCTTCCACGTCACAAGATATAATACCCTTCAAAGTGCATCTCTTCCAGCCTCGTGCGATGTTTCTAGAATGGACAGAAAGACACGCTGTCAGTAGAAGAGTTGGTCATCTGGGTGTGGGAATACTTTTTTTTTTTAATCTTCTTAGTGCGTGAGTGCTATAACAGACTGAATATTAAGGTCATTAGTCCTACATTTCACACAAAAGGAAAATAATCACTTTTGTGTGCTTTGTTGTATAACGTCTGGATATATGATAGTTGTTTTGAGTTTTTTGAGGTACATTACAGCTAATAAAAGAAATCCGGGAGACTTACCAATCATGCTGGAAGGCGATAAGGGCGGAATTGACCTCAGATTTGAAGAAAGCAGCCCTGTTTGGTTGAGTGACAAGCTGGTGGCTGAGTCTTCCGGGGACTGACCTCTCTGGCTTTGCAGTGGATGGCTTCATCCTGCAGTTCCACCCAGAGCCAGTCACTGCAGAAGCCAAGGTTTCCTGCTCCTTCCAGGGCACGCTCCTCCCTGCTTTCACCAACTACAGGCTCACTCTGCGCCTGAAGTTACAGTGCACTGAGAGATTTCACAAGCGGCTTTTCGATCGTAGCTCCTCCCCCTGAGACGCAGATCCCTTAGTCTCTGAGTTGTCAGTGTGTGATCTCAGAGTGACGGTTGCTGCCTGACACATCTCCACTCTCCCTTTCACTCCATTTTCTTCATGTAAATAATCTGTGCGTTTTCAGCGGATGGCCCAGTGTGCAGAGGAATCAGCGTCCTGAGCAAAGAAATGATGTGCAGACAATAACCTAGCTTTCCTGCTTGTCTGAGATATCCAGACCCTTACTGCCCTGCTTTCTGATGATGAGACTGGCTTCTGAACAAGCGAGTGAATACCTGTCATCCTAGGGTCAATTACTGTTTCCACTTTGGTTTCCCTCAAGTTCTTGGACAAACTTGAGCATTACTCCTACCTTTTAGAATCCTAGGATAGGATAATTAAAAGCGCTGCCAAAGGAGCTAGTGTGCTAATTGGTAGTTTGATCGATGTTAAGACCATTTATTGAGTTCACTGCCACATGAATTCTTATTGCATCCTGCCTTTGGGCCTCTGCCTGAAACCGATGTTTCCCGGGTGTGTGTGTGTGTGTGTCCGTGTCCCCGCCTGGTTCCCATGTGAAGGTGGCCTGTCCTTTTTACCCCAAGATGCTGGAGAACCAGATGGAAGTGCGGAAGAAGGAGATCGAGGAGCTTCAGAGCCAGGCACAGGCCCTGAGTCAGGAGGGCAAGAGCACCGATGAGGTGGACAGCAAGCGCCTCACGGTGCAGACCAAGTTCATGGAGTTGCTGGAGCCCTTGAACGAGAGGAAGCATAACCTGCTGGCTTCCAAAGAGATCCATCAGTTCAACAGGGACGTGGAAGATGAGATTGTGAGTAGATCCCTGCCACACAAGCAGCTCAGAGTCCTAGCTTCTCTGTCAGATTCCAGACCAAGAGCCGAGCCCCCCGGTGTGGGTGTTCCGGGGTGCTGTCCCCTCTGATACTGAAGGCAGCTCCAGAGACACTGCAGTTTGCCCCCAGAACAGAGTGTTCAAACACGTGGGGAAGATTGTTGGGCAGTCCAGTGTTGCAGCCAGGCAGAGGCGGGAAGCTGACTCTTGCCATACCCTGGGTGGGAAGAAGGGTGCCCTCCCTCAGTCCGCCCTTACCACGGAGTAAGCATTCACACTGGAGAGCCAACCCTGGCTCTCCCCTCGCTGCACTTGCCCGTGTCCCGTTTGTTCTCATGAACGATCCTCACCCCTGTTTGCAATGTTTTCCAGCTGTGGGTTGGCGAGAGGATGCCTTTGGCAACCTCCACGGATCATGGCCACAACCTCCAGACCGTGCAGCTCCTAATCAAGAAAAATCAGGTAAGCATTTTTGCTTAGGCCTGTGCGGGCTCCTAATTACAAGGCGTAGAATGGGCAGGCTTGGCAGGGTCGATGTAAACACCAGGCTGTTGTCGTTTAGCAAGGCTCTGTGGATGTCTTCCACCCCCACACAGACCCTCCAGAAAGAAATCCAGGGGCACCAGCCTCGCATTGATGACATCTTTGAGCGGAGCCAGAACATTGTCACCGACAGCAGCAGCCTCAATGCAGAGGCCATCCGGCAGCGGCTTGCCGACCTGAAGCAGCTGTGGGGCCAGCTCATCGAAGAGACCGAGAAGCGCCACAGGCGGCTGGAGGAAGCCCACAGGGCCCAGCAGTACTACTTCGATGCGGCTGAGGCCGAGGCATGGATGAGCGAGCAGGAGCTATACATGATGTCTGAGGAGAAGGCCAAGGTGAGGGTGAGGGGTGGCCGTGGTCTCTGAAGGCAGGCACAGGAAGCAGGCTGTTGACAGAGCCCAGACTGAGACCTGAACTTGCCTTCTGCTGGCGGCTCTGTCTGTGTGGGCTCTCCACTGCTTCCTGTGAAGGTTCCAGGGCCAGCCGGGTACACAAAGGGGTCTCAGATCTGGCTGCTGTTTTCTCTTGACATATGCCCCCTCACTTTTCTTTTCTTGGACTGAAGTTTGCTTAGAGCCTTTCTTGCTGTCTGTGTAGGGCTGTCTCATTTACAGTACACAGGATGGTATCTCTAGGTTCCAGAATGCTGTCATCCACTTAGCTGGTAGAGTGAGGAATGTCTACTCTCTAGAATATACGTAGAATGTCCGAGCTGACGTTGCACCCCAGAGGGGCTGCCTTGTCCTCATGACCATCTTTCCTGGAGGCTGCGTGTGCTCCACACTGTGCAGAGGCCCTGGGAGTGTGCCTGGGTTGCCTGCCCGTGCCTCCCTTGCTGTATTTCTTTCTGTTGGTCTTTCCTCCTGCCTTGCCATGCAGTTGGTCTGTTGCCCTGAAGGGTGGTACCATGCTGCAGGTGGAAGGCTGTGGTTATGACAGTCCCCTCTTTGCAGGATGAGCAGAGTGCCGTCTCCATGTTGAAAAAACACCAGATTCTGGAGCAAGCTGTGGAGGACTATGCAGAGACTGTGCATCAGCTCTCCAAAACCAGCCGGGCCCTGGTGGCTGACAGCCATCCCGAAAGGTGAGTGCTGTGACGCCGGGGTGGGCCCAGCCAGCAGTCACACTCGGCAGAGAGTCTGCTTCTCATACACCCGAAAGAAAACGGCAGCGTTCGTCTGGGGTTACTGGTAAGGTACATAGACCCTTGGGATGCATTCTGAGATCGCCCCACAGGGCTTTGGTGAACAGAAAGAGGGAACCTCTCCCTAGGAAGCTGCTCTTGCGGGTTGGTGTCTCTTAGCCAAGTGCAAGGTTACTGGTGTTGTGAGTCAGCAGCTCGAGTGTCTGGCTGAGATGTCAGTAATCACAGTACTCCCCTCTGGGTTGGAAAAGCCACCCAGTTCAAGAAAGTGTTTGCTAGTATTAAAAAAGAGTGACAGACAGGAATATGGGGACCCAGAAAGTAAAAGGACTCCCAGAAAGACCAAAATGATATCACCCTCAGCCCCTCCCACTTTTACACTGCGAATGCTTAGAATGTTTTAAGAGGGGAAAAGGTGAGTGTGTAGTGCTTGCTGAGAGTAGCTGGGCTCCTGTGTTGAGTATTTATATGTGACTTTGTGACTTAGCAAGGAAAGGGATTGACTCCCTGCACTTGTCCAAGGCTGGGGGTTAAGGAGAAGGTCGGTGGCCATATGATGCTTCCTGAGGCATGGGTTCCTGGTCCCCAAGGAAGAGAACCAAGCAATCTTTATCTGTAATCTGCTGTTAGGAGACTGTTATCTGAGGAGAAGTAGCAGGGGCAGGGATGCAGTATCGTAATAGCGCACCCAGCACACAGGAACTGGAAGCAGCCAGGGAAGAGTGCTCATCCCACAGAAGATGGAGAGCAGGCCGCGACCTCGGGAGGGTGTCCCCGGTCCCCCGGTGGCAGAGTGCCTGAGAGTGGAAGGTGACTGTTGGGTTTTGCATTAGTCTTTAATATTGAAGAAAAGCCGTTCTCCCAGAGCCAGCAGCACTGAGTTAGGGCCTTTCCACCCCTTCACTGCATTGAAGATGTTATGTTTCGTTTACACAATGGCTCCTCATCATTTGAAGTTTGAGGTCAAATTTTCAAGATTGACTTTTCAGGCTGAATAGGCTAACCAGAAGTTTCCTTTGAGAAATTGAATAGAACATGCTATCCTGTTATCTCCACCTCGTTGGCTTTTCCCCTTAAGAAAACTGACATTTAAATGCCTTTTCCCCTCCTATTCCCCTCCGTCTCTCTCCTCTCAGCGAGCGCATTAGCATGCGGCAGTCCAAAGTAGACAAGCTGTACGCTGGCCTGAAGGACCTCGCCGAAGAAAGGAGAGGCAAGCTGGACGAGAGGCACAGGTTATTCCAGCTGAACCGGGAGGTGGACGACCTGGAGCAGTGGATTGCTGAGAGGGAAGTGGTCGCAGGGTCCCATGAGCTGGGGCAGGACTACGAGCATGTGACGGCAAGTACTCTGGGCAGAGCCTGAGTGGGTGTGGAGTGAGCAATGGTGTGGAAGACCACTTGGTCTCCCATCTGTGATCAGATAAAATGCCTTAGGCTCGAATCAGAGGTTCATGGCAGTTAGTTTCAACTTGGTTTTATCATCTACAAACAATATTGTTTCTGTGCCCCTTCTCCTGCAACATAAGACAGGGACGGCCGTGTGTTCCTCTGCTGCAGGAAACAGGAAGGAACCTGATTGATGACAAGTTTTGGGGCTAACTTCTGTTGTTCTGGTGGCCTCTTCCTTGAAGGCAGTTCTCTTCAAAGGGCATTCATGTGATCAAGGAGTAGGATGTTCACAACTTATACCCATTCCTGTTTCAGATGTTGCAAGAAAGATTTCGGGAATTTGCCCGAGACACGGGCAACATTGGGCAGGAGCGTGTGGACACAGTCAATCACATGGCCGATGAGCTTATCAACTCGGGACATTCAGATGCAGCCACAATTGCTGAGTGGAAGGACGGCCTCAATGAAGCCTGGGCTGACCTCCTGGAGCTCATCGACACAAGAACACAGATCCTGGCCGCCTCCTACGAACTGCATAAGTTTTACCATGATGCCAAGGAGATCTTTGGACGCATCCAGGACAAACACAAGAAACTCCCGGAGGAGCTCGGGCGTGATCAGAACACAGTCGAGACCTTGCAGAGAATGCACACCACATTTGAGCATGACATCCAGGCCCTGGGCACTCAGGTGAGCAGCCGGCTGCCCTGGGCTGAGGGAGGGTCTCTCTCCAAGAACAGCTTTGTGCATCTCCTAGCAACCCTCCAGTTCTTGACACCTCGACCAAGGATTACCCATGGTAAATGCACAAGTGCACACACATCATTAGAATGTTCTTACCAGTCCGTGAAGTTAAGAGTTTGCTGTGTTTCCAGATTTTTGTTGCATGGATAAATCACACACACACACACACACACACACACACACACACAACATTTGCAGCATAAAGCCTGGCTTTGTATGATGTTGACATATCCATCCAGAAAAATGTCCAAGGTCAGAGCTGTGTATACATATGTAGAGAGAAAACAGAATTCTGCTATTATATAATACGTATGGTCTACCCACTCCAGCATAAGATGTCTGACAGATTCTGTTTGAAAGATTGTAGACAAAGTGATAGCAGTACAGCAGCCAAACACTCCAGTTTCTAATCTCTGTGTAGTTTTTTGTTTAGTCTTGAGTTTTTGGTTGCAAAATAAGAATTTTCCCTTAAGTTTCAGTGTTCCTCGAAAAGAAGCCAGTTTTCTTAACGATGTATGATGGAGGGGGTTAAGGAGGGTCTTGCTTGTCTTGTATGGGGTTTAGCATGTTGTTTTTCATTGAAGGGCCACATCACACAGCATAGATCTGTTCAGCATTGTTGGGCCTAGAGCCTGTACACAGCAGGTACTGGGCTCTGACTTGAGAACCTACAGCAGCCAAGATGATGCAGGCATGTCTGAGCGTGGCAGTGTTCCAGTGGGCCTTTATTTGCCAAACCAGGCGGCTGAGCTTTGTCCTCGGCCAGCCCCCTCTAGAGCCTCAGCCACCCACCATGGCTTGGTGTACTTCAGAACTGCTTCTGTGGGCAGACCGCCTTGACTTCTGAATTCCCTTCCACTCCTGTTGCTTGGTATGGCTCCAAGTTTCATTTTCTAACCTGTAGGTCCTCCTTGCATCAAGGTTTAAAGTGATGCTTGTAAGACATATGCCACAGCCAGAGCCCTGAGAATGTTTTCCCAGTCCTGCCCCATGACAACAGCTTAGGGATCATTTGGGATCTCCAGAGACGACGGTAGAGGAGACGTGGCAGAAGCAGCATATTTTCCCTTTGCAGATGTGAAATCCCTTAGTCTGAGAACTATTGGCAACTCAGCACATGATGGAGTTAATCCCTCCTTTGTCATTAGCTACGTTCCCCTCATGTGAGCTCAGAGGACCCAACAAGGGTCAAGCCATGCCCGGGACAGGGACCTGCCACCTCAGGGCGGCCTGTCTTCCTCTCACCAAACTTGTTTGCATTGGGCCTTTGACAGCTGTCAACGGGGATGTTGAGGTACTGACCCAGGCCAGGTTGGTCAGGACAGCCCTCAACACAGGCTCCCAGAAGCAGGTGCCATCTCGCACTGCACTGTTTCCCCTGGTGCCAGCTTGATCTGCTCCCATCCTCCCCTCTGAGCAGCAGCAGTGGGGTGTGAGAACACAGCGTGGGGTTTTGCACCCAGATGCCCTGTAAAGCAGTGGTTCATTTCTGTAGGCATTTTTACTGAGTCTTCTCCACAAGCATTTCAAGGTAACCAGACAGGAGCGGACAGCCTACCTTGGAGTGCCCTGGCGCTGACTCCAGCTCCTCCCCGGTACTAGCCCTGGGAGGCAGCAGTATCATTCAGCATACTAGCGTCCTGCCCGCTTTCAAGTGGGAAGTCAGCAATGCAGCCAACGGTTTAACCCATGGTGCCATAACACCAGTTCCACAATATCTGGCTCCTCTGTCTGCCTGCCTCGCTGCCTCTCAGTAGCACAGGAAAAAGTGGTTGGAAACTGAGTAGTCATATCAGGAATCGGTGTTCCAAATCATCTTCCAGGACTTTGGTTATTACATCTTGAGTTACACCTGAACCACGATTCAAGAGTAATTCCTAAAGCTCCTCAGGACCTGGAAGTCAAAACACTAATCTAAGAATCCCATTGATTGCTCTCAGCGTCTTTCAGCAGAACCTTCTTTTCCTAACCTCCCACCTCCTAAAGAACTTTGGGGATCAGTTATCCCTCTCCCCTCTGACCCAAGTGTGTGTCCCGTGGGACCCTTCAGACAGCTGAAGGCTCCTCATGCCCAGCACTGTTACCTGCCTGTAGGCAACTTTCATCCCATGGTCTCATCAGTAAAATGATGACTGGGTATCATAATTAGGAATGTATCCATTTCTCTGTATATCTTTAATTAGATATTAAATGCATTGAATGGCACTACCAATATGGAAGTACTTTTTATAAAACATAAAATGTGTGCAAATACGGGCTTACAAGTGAAATAGCTATGCAGTTTCCATTAGAAAGGCTCACCCACTCCTAGAGAGGAGATTCTATTCAAGAACCACCCCCTTTTGCCCAGAAGATAGAATACCATGCACATTGCCTGCTTTTTTGATTTTTCCACTTAGCTGTCGTCTTGGAGCACGTTTTCAGAAGACAGCATGGAGTGCTTTCTCATTCTTTCTTCTTCTCAAGATTTATTTCTTTTTGTTGAAAAGTCAGGTTTACAGAGAGAAGCAGAGACAGAAAGAAAGGTCTTCCATCTGCTGGTTCACTCCCCAAGTGGCCACAATGTCTGGAGCTGAGCCGATCCAAAGCCGGGAGCCAGGAGCCTCTTTCAGGTCTCCCATGCAGGTGCAGGGTCCCAAGGCTTTGGGCCATCCTCGACTGCTTTCCCAGGCCACAGGCAGGGAGCTGGATGGGAAGCAGGGCTGCTGGGATTAGAACTGGCATTCATATGGGATCTCAGCACATGCAAGGCAGCGACTTCAGCTGCTAGGCTATGCACTGGCCCAAGCTTCCTCATTCTTTTTCATGCTACATGGGAGTACCTTGTTGGATACATCAGTCTTAATTTAATCATTCATCTGTGGATATTACTTTACTTTCAGTCTTCTGCTGATTTATATAAACAATGCTGTGTAGTGTATGAACCTGTGTACATTTTATTTCCTAACTGTGCAACCATGTATGCAGGATAAACTCCCTACAGTGGAGTCGTAAACTCAGAAGGTGTATGTATTTATGATGTCCTTGGGTACTGCGTGTTTTCCTTCTCAGGAGCTGTGATGAGTCACTCACCAGCAAACAGATCATCAGATTTGAATGTCCGCCACCTAGTAAACAACACAGGACAGCATGCCCATCTACCGCGTTGCTATGTTGTATTTCCTGCTCTCTGAGCTTTCTCCTCATACCAAATTTGTTTTGGCTTGTTGATGTCTCCTTTTATATTGGTGACTACCATAGCCAAAAAAACGCACTAAAAATACATACATGTACTTAAAGGTTCAGGTTAGCTACACATACACCAATCACAAACCTAAAGCCTTTGATCTTTCATTGTACAAAGTTTTGATGACATTTGACCAGCTCGAATTTCCCCTCCTTTGAGGTGGGTCAGATCTCTCAGTGTCATTGGATGCGGCAAGACCTTTGCTGGGCAGTACAGATGTTAATTGTCAGCAACATCATCTAGCATTGGAAAGGTTCCCTAAGTTGTATTCCTGGCAGTTTCCTATTTTTTGGTAGAAACATTGCCTCGAAAGAGCAATCTGGATTCTTATTTTTGGAGCTAGTCTGAGTGTGACATCTTCACCCCCAATCACCTCCCTGCAACCATTCCTCGTTCCTGGGTTCTCCAGCTTGTGACATCTGATTGGCTTTATCATGTGAAAGGAACTTAATGTGGTCCAGCAGGTCTTTAGAAAGCTCGGCTTTTGTGACCTGTTCAGTGAGAAGCAAGGGCTTCATTTTGAGATGGTGACCCCTTTGGGGTGAGCAGAACAGTGGGTGGCCCATGAATGGAGAGCAACAGAACGATGGCAGGAAGGCCTTAGGAAGTCTGACCCATCTCATCTCTGACTCCACAGGTCAGGCAGTTGCAGGAGGACGCAGCCCGCCTGCAGGCCGCCTATGCTGGCGACAAGGCAGACGACATCCAGAAGCGTGAGAACGAAGTCCTGGAGGCCTGGAAGGCCCTGCTGGATGCCTGCGAGGGCCGCAGGGTACGGCTGGTGGACACAGGGGACAAGTTCCGCTTCTTCAGCATGGTGCGTGACCTCATGCTGTGGATGGAGGATGTCATTCGGCAAATTGAGGCCCAAGAGAAGCCCAGGTAAAAGTCGTGGTCTCTGGGGACTGTTGCTCCTGCAGGCCATTGCCAGGCAGCCAGAGCAGGGGGGTAGCCTGGTGTCGTTGAGCTCTCCCTAGTTCCTTGTTCGTCCAGGCATCTCTGCATCCAACTTGGGAGTGACTAACGACCTCACCTTTGGGGCCAGGTGGCCTGAGGTCCCCTTTTCCTCATCTGTTGGATTAAACACTACCCAGTCCCTTTCCATATATTATTGCACTTAAAGTTGTAGCTTACCCTCAACATCTGCTTCCGTGTTGTTCACTTTGCTCTTCTTGTTTCACATAGGTGAATAAGCCATATGCACTTATGTACATATATATAAAGCAGCTGTGTTTTCTGGGTCAGGGTCAGCAGGTTTTGCTTCATGAGAAGCTCTTGCAGCTCCACCAGTCATTGGTTTCTAAGCTGGTTCCCATGCTGTGTAGCTGTTCATGTCTGAGTAGGGAGACTGTAGTAGCTACCTACAATAATTAACCCAATGGGATGCGATGGGATTGAGGCACCTGTTCCTGCCTCGTTGCTATCTCCGAGAGAATCTTTCTGAATTCCTTGCAAAAAGTGAAAGCCTCCACTGAAAAGTCCAGTGAGTTTTCTGGCACGCACCTAGCAGCCATTTTGAGTTGTTCAAGTGCATACACTGAATAAAAGTTGCCTCACCCTCAGTGTGAGTTTGTGCAGCCAGCCCTGAAGTTACACTCTTGTCCTGCTTTACTGCTAGTGTCCCAGCCTGGGTACAGACCGTGAATCACACCTGAAAAGCTATTTTGGCTGCCAGACAATTTCCTTCAAATTAATTGTAGGTCATTACAGCCTACACTTTTTGGAAAAGCTTGATCTCCTGTTTGTCTGATTTTAGGGATGTGTCATCCGTTGAACTGTTAATGAACAATCATCAAGGTATCAAAGCTGAAATTGATGCTCGTAATGACAGCTTCACAACCTGCATTGAACTTGGGAAATCCCTGTTGGCGAGGAAACACTACGCCTCCGAGGAGGTGGGCCGCTGCTCTGCTCTGGGGCCGTGGGGTGGGAAAGAAGCTGGCTGCAAAGATGGCAAATGACTATTTTCTGTGTGATGTTTGTGAGTGTGCCTCCACATACAGACACACACAGAAATGCATATTTCCATTCATTCACATCTGCCTGCGTACACACACATTTCAAACGTGTGTTCCTTCTTTCTCATGTGCTAGAATCAGTTACATAGGAATGTAGGTCGGAGCTGGCAGATCTGTGGTGCAGAAGATGGTGTTTTGAGGGCTGCAGGTTGCAAGAGAACCTCTGACCTCTCCCATCATCCAAGTCACAGGTGCCCCGGGTCAGTTTGCTCTGTAGAGGGTGGTGGCTGGCTCTGTTTAGGAAGGTGGACTCCCCTTGGATCAAATCAGGGTCAAGGCTTTGCCATTCCTGCTATCTGTCCTTTCCTGGAGGGCGTTTGTCACAGGGAGCAGAATTGGGAAAGGCCTCCTTGGGACAGAGCAGCTATGGAGCAGCCTAGGCTCCTGCTCAGCCCTTTCTGGAAAGACCGTTGCCAAGCTGAGCATGCTCTTAGGTGATCCCTGGCTTGGTCTCTGTCCATCAAGGGGAAGACAGAGGGTGTGGTGCATTCCAGTAAGATGTTGTGGGGTCCTTCTTTCCACACAGATCAAGGAAAAGTTACTGCAGTTGACAGAAAAGAGAAAAGAGATGATCGACAAGTGGGAAGACCGATGGGAGTGGTTAAGACTGAGTAAGGACAGCCTTCACTTGTCTTTCTGTGTTTTGAGTTCTGGATGCTTCTTTTTAATGTAACATGTATAGGAAGTTTCCTGTGGCACACTCAAAATTTCTCACCCAGTGACCAAGCCCCACCGTGTAAGCGGGATTTGGGGTGTTGTTTCGGAACAACACAGTGAGGACACTTGGCATCCCCCTGGGAGGGTTCAGCTAGAAGCACCCCCACCCCTGCTCCTGCAGCTGTTTTCAAGAAGAGTTCCTAGTGCAGAGTCAGGAAGGTGCCAAGTTGAGCTGAAATCTTGTGTGTGATGTCCCAAGTGGGAGATTGACAGCATCGCAGCCCTTAAGGTTTGGCCATGACCTGACCTTGTTCCAAGTGTCGTAAAACTCATGCAGGTCATTCCGCACAGTGACCTGTGAGGGCAGTTCTGCTGCTACTGCCTCAGCACAGGGCTTCTGAAGTATAGCGTGAGAACTTCAAAGTTGGCAAGAGCGCTGTGAGTGACCCCAGGTCCCATCGTTATTTACCATGCCTTGCCATTCTGTCTTGGCATTCCGGCTCTTTCCTAATGCTTTCAGCCCATGTGTACCTTGTGTGAAAACAAGTCCAGACCTCCTTTTGTGAAAGGTCTTTGTTTATAGCAGCCGGAGAAGGCACACCCAGGGGGCGGCACAAAGGCCTCAGAACCTCAGCCGTGACCACTCACTGGGTGAGAATTTGGTCTATACGTTGTAAGAATTCCAAGGCAGTTTCATTCGCTGCTGTGACGTAGAGGCTGGGTTGCGTTGTGGAGGCACAGGGATGGTTTGGGCAGTGCCTGCGTTGACAAGCCAGTCCATCCCTACCACAGAGGCAGCATTTTCTCCATATAGCCATGGCGGAGGCTCCAAGGCTGCACAAGGAACAGGTCGGCCAGCCCCTGGGAGCATGGATGCTCACAGTGCCTTGCTCATTGGCACAGTCCAGGACATGGCTGGACCAGATGCGGCCATAGCGCAAAGCTGAGTTCTAACCCATGCTCTCATAACTGAGGCGGTGGTACTGATGGAAGCCCTACCACCTTGTATGTGGAGGAACAGAATGAAACAGAGCCTCGGCCCACACCATGCCCCTTTTCTGCAGTGTTCCTCCGTCCTTCCTTCCCTGTCCTCCACCCAGAACACAACACCCAGTTGTCACCCAACAAAGGGTGCTCTGTGCTGCCCTGCATGGCTGTGAGGCTGGCCTCGTGGAAAGGGCAGGATATGCCTTATAGAGCTGTGATTAAGTACAGTAACCACTGACACTGCAATGCAGAAACCAGAAATGTTTTCAAGCAAAAAGGTACAATGAGCCTGTTCCAAGTATAAAATATCTGTTGCATTTAGACTGAAAAGAAAAACACCAGGATGTAATGGATTTCTGTAGCTTTTAAATACAACATGCTGAAATGCTGTGTTTTACATTTGGGTGACTGAAATGTAGTGTCAATTCCATCCAGTTCTTTTTCCTCTAAATTTAACGTGACCGCTGACAAAGTTAGGAATTACAGTCATTGCTTAGAATGGCCTGGAAGCTGGCTGTGCAGATAGCTGCCACCAGAGGGCAGCAGTCCCAGGTCCTGGCTCACTGGCTCTTGGTGCTCTGTGCAGTCTTGGAGGTCCATCAGTTCTCAAGGGATGCCAGCGTGGCTGAGGCCTGGCTGCTGGGACAGGAGCCCTACCTATCCAGCCGAGAAATAGGCCAGAGCGTGGACGAGGTGGAGAAGCTCATCAAGCGCCACGAGGCATTTGAGAAGTCTGCAGCCACCTGGGACGAGAGGTTCTCCGCCCTGGAGCGGCTGACGACGGTAAGCAGTGGCAGGCACACTCCGCCTGTGGCTTCTCCTGGGCAGCCTGGTCCTCCCGCTTGGCCTGGGTCATTAGGGAGTTCAGTCTCCTGTCTGGCTTCCTACAGAGCAGTAGGAATCTTCCCGAAGGTGGTGATGCTTGGGGAATAGGAACCGGGGAGAAAGGCAGGACTGGTCTGGGACTCTGCATTGACCAGTTAGGGTGGCTCCCAGCCTGGGAATAGGTTTTCCCTTTTGACCCACTTTCTTCGCTTACACCCCATACAAGCTTGGGCTTCCAGAAGGGGCACGGCCTAAAAATGTTCTTGAGGATTTCAGTGTTAGAATTCTCACTCAGCATAGCTCGGCCTTAAGGCTGGTTCACCCAGGCCACGTGTCATCCTGGTTGCCAACCTCATCACAGGCGTGGAGTGGGCCGTTGTACGACCGCTGCTTCCATCTTCTGAAACATTTGCGCTCCTGCAAGAGAGCATGCCTCTTCACAGGTGCCAGAACTGCTGCTTGGCAAACAGCAGTCACGGCTCAAGTGATTGCCTTCCTGTCAGTCCTGTGGGAAGCATGGATGAAGTTCCTGGCTCCTTACTTTGGCCTGGCCCAGTCTCAGCCATTGTGGCCATTTCAGGAGTGAGTCAGTGAATGGAAGTGCTTGCATGGCCTCTCTCCCCCTCTCTCTGCCTCTCAAATTTCTGGTGTTTTATTTTTGAAAACTACTACATTGCTCACCAAGAGGCTTCATTTCAGATGAGGCCACTCCGTGGCTTCTTTATGTGTTCCTTGGTTTGGGCTGAACCCAGAGCCTCACCACAGCGCAAGCTTGCTTTAGTATTACTGCGGCTATGTCTGCTGCTTTTTAGCTCTCGTAGGGTGTCCAGACTGAAAGCTGCACAGTCAGTTTTGGAATTAAACCTGAGCTCCCTGGGACCCACAGGCAACTCAGGAATTCTGCCATCCCGTGGAGCCAGGCATTTTGCCGTAGTTTCAGGTCACCGCAGTTCCTGTACACCTGTTGTCAGTTTGCTTAGGATATCGGAGTCTCTGGTTGCTGGGCAAAAGTCAATGCAGAAAACCGACCAGGCAGAACCCAGCCCCTTCCTCCGGCTCTGCCCAACCCTGCTGTGTTCCCCCTTACAGTTGGAGTTACTGGAAGTGCGCAGACAGCAAGAGGAGGAAGAGAGGAAGAGGCGACCGCCTTCTCCTGAGCCAAGCACAAAGGTTTCAGAGGAGACCGAGTCCCAGCAACAGTGGTGAGTTAGAGGCAGCCCTAGGGGCTGGAGCCTTAGCCTTGGTAACAAGAGGAACCTGTGGGGCATTTCTGCCCGTGTGCCCTTCCGGTTAGTGACCTGTGCAGCCTGCCCAGAACTGCATAGTCACCCCTGAGTAACACGGAGGAGGCTGGCCTGCCCACAGCCGTGTGGCTCTGTGAGTGGCACGGGTATATATATATATACACACGCACACACGCTGACACACACAGTCCCAGTTGGTTAGATGGAGACCATGGACTGCCCAGGTTTCAGACCCATGGTTTTGAGGCTGTACTGGGTGACCTCATATAAAAGGCAAAAGCCTTGTTCTGTTTCCACACAGCTGGTTGCTGTGCTGAGAGCCTCATGAGCACCCCTGGCGCTGCCTGTGATGGGCCGGGAGCGGCGGCATGGGGCTTCCTGCAGGCTCGTCTGAAGCTTCAGGCTTGGGAAGTCACAACTGCGCTCCGTGAAAGAGGGCTTCGAAGGGGAAAGGGTTTTGATCGAAGTGACTGATGTGGTTCTCCCCCACCCTTCTCGTTTTCTTTCCTTCCCTCCTTCCCACCCTCTTCCCTTCCTTCCCTTTCCCCTCTCCCCTCGCAGGGATACTTCAAAAGGAGAACAAGTTTCCCAGAATGGTTTGCCGGCTGAACAGGGATCTCCACGGGTTAGTTACCGCTCTCAAACCTACCAAAACTACAAAAACTTTAATAGCAGACGGACAGCCAGTGAGCAGCCATGGTCCGGACTGTGAAGTTCACTACCATTTATCAAGAACCGTTCTTTCCAAAGCCTGTTGGTTTTGGCTCCTTGGCTCCCACCTCACACGAAGTGTTAAAAAGAAATTTTACTTAATTCGTAGCCTTCCTTGGTTTTATATTTGTTTGTGTTTAACTCATGTTTAGTAGAGTCTCTAAGTGATGGATATACCCAGTTGCCTTTTAGCAGCCTACTTATTTTTTGGTTTATTTATTGTGAGCTTTTTACTTTATTAAGATTTTACAGCGAAACCCTTTCATGAATAATTGAGATTAAATGTGATTACATCCTAATGAAGAAGAAAACTAGACTCTAACAGGTATGACACACCCAGTGGTACTAACAGGGCACAGTTCCGTGCTATGTGTAGCCTCCTTTACAGCTCTTATTAACTTGCCTCAGTTTGCTAGTGAGGGTGAGGAAGGAGACCTTCAGAAGCCCAAGGAAAGCCTGAAGTCAGCTATGGAACATTCCAAGCACAATGCATTTCAGTTTTGTTTGGTTTTATTTTTTAAGGGTGGCAAAACAAAAAGGTCGACTCCAGAAAGCTAGGTTTAATGTTCGGTACAGAATCTCAACCATTTTGAGACGCTCAGGTCACGTGTTAGTTTTTACAAGCCGGTTTCCCTGCTGCCTCTTCCTGCCAAGTTTTGACTTGGGAACTGTGGGCTTGCCTGCCACTTGCCGCCGCCACCCAGGTCTTGATCCATGTGGACACCGCCAGGACTCAGAACAAACACAGCAGGAAGAGGGGGCGGTAGTCCTTGGGTGTTGGGGGAGCCAGCCTGCAGACTTGCAAAGCCCCTCCCTGTAACCAGTGACTTGAGGTGGCAATGTTTTCATTTTTTCAGATGACCACGACTAAAGTCACTTGGGTTCATCCCGATGACTTGAACACCGCAGGTGCCTGCAGGTGCCGGGCAGTCAGGGTCAGCAGACACGGGAGCTCCCCAGCAGGTCTCTGCCGGCCCACTCTGGGAGGGAGCAGGCCTTCCCACAGGGCTATTTGTTGAACTCCCCAGTGAGGAGTCTTGTAGGGTGGCAGGCTGTCAGCAGGGAGCTAAATGTTGTCGGTTTTGTTTTTTAAGCAAAAATCCCTTTCTTTAGGAGCAGATGAAAGAGGTGGTTTTCTGGTACTGATAAAAACTAAACCAAATCCATACTACACCATGAGACATCCACTCGCTCATTTGCCATACGTAGATGTTTCAGTAGCATCATAAACCTGTTTTGATATGTGTTCTCCATGAGTTAAGTCTAATTTGTCTTTTCATTTCATGATGCATGTCTTTTTTTTTCTTTTGTCAGGATAACATCATATAGCATCTTATTTGTTTCTCCTTATCTATGTACATATCTATCTACTTGTGACTGTAGATGGGTATAGAGATAGATGCCAAGCTTCTTGTGTTCTGGGGATAGTGTGCACCATCATTGGGTCTCTGCCTTAAAACACAGAATTCATCATCTTTCGTCGTCAGGAAGCCCTGGCGCATGTTTTGGCTCCAAATTTTACTCTGTGTGTCACTGACCTATATGTATATATGTGATGTTTCCATATATATATATGTATGTGTGTGTTTCAATTTTGTATCATCATGACTGATATCCAGTTTTATGCTTTTTCTAATAAAGAAAAAGACTATGCACATGAGGAAGGAAAGTGAATCCCAGCATTCACTCTCATGTTTCTATTGAATTTTTATATGAATTATCGCTTACCAGAGCAAATTTTTTTTTATTACGATTGGATTACATTGAAAGAAGAAAAAAAAAGGTTTTTTTTTTTTCTTTCTCAGTGATGGTGCAGAGACTCAAGTTAATGAACTTGAAAATTGTGTTGCTTCGTGCCCTTGGGAATCCAGTGCTCCCATGCTACTAGCTGTCATGTTGCCTTTGTGTTCACTGTTCACCTCCTGACTTGAATCCATCAGGCGTGCTCAGCCGCTACAGCACTCTGGGCTAATCACCAACCAAAAAAAAAAAAAAAAGCCCTGTGGGGTGGGCGGGGTGGGGGCGGGGATGTACCCACTTGTACCCACTGTGTGATCACAGCACTGTGACTGCTTTCAGTGTCTGCTCGCGGTGTGCTGTCTGTCGGCATGCTTAAAGCACATGTCCATTAAAATTCATTTTGTTCCTTTTATTTTTCCTTGTTTTCTTGGTTAGTTATTCATTTGCATAAACATTAATGATCTCTGCATATTGGTTTGGGGTTTTTCTCTTTCCTTCTAACTCTAAAAGAAAAAATTTTTGCTGCAGAATCCCCCTCAGAAGAGGCCTCCGTGGCCCTGCCTTGGAGTCTGGCCATGTATATGGTCAATTCTAGCCTTTTCCCACGTAAACTTCCATACCCAGGTCATTGCTATCACTAGCAGTTTTCCAGTCAAACCTGCAGCACGAAATTTTTTTTAACCTGGTTTCTGTATATACTAACCCCATTTCTCTCTGGACTCACACCTGGACTCTGGCCTTCCAGACTGTATTTACACTTCCTCCTCACAAGAAATGTCATGAAGTCTCACACTAGAAGAGGTGTGTCAACTTGATAAAAATCCACCCAACATTCTTTCTGGCTCAGGGATCTTTTTTTTCAGTTCCCCTTTTTGCAGTTTTACCTTTGAGTATTAAAGAAGTATTTCAATGACCCAATGCTCTTAAGCATAAGGGTGTTCAGACTGGCATTTATAGGGCCAGGATAATCACTAACACACACACACACACACACCTACCTCTGCCCCAATAATCCTGACTCCCCTGTTGCTCTGAGAATAAAGCATTCCAAGCAGAAATGCCCTTAAATTGCCAAGCCCCTCACCCCAATCCCAGATGCTCTGATCTTTTGTGTAGATAGGATGTAAAATAGAAATAGGTTCTCCCTCCTGCTAGAGCTTTCAGCAGCCCCTTTCCCAAAGGGCTGGCTTGATCAAGCTCCGGACCCATCCATTCAAATAAGACCTGGGTCACAGCAGCAGCTCCCGAGAGCCGACAGGGCCGAGCGTTGAGGTGGTGGTGGCCAGTCTGCCGTTCATCCTGTCAAGGTCATTGCTGCTAATTTGGTGCCACTTTGGTTCTGGGCAGCAGTGGTGGGGGAACGTATCTAATGAGCGTGCCATTGACACCTCCATGTTTGTCCGTGTATGAAGGGTGCAGGTTGTCTGTAATCCACTAAAGCGTCAGCCACACCCAGCTTTCGTAACTTCGCTAATCCCACGCCCTGGGTGTTACCAGCCGGGGGGCTGCTACAGGGAAATGGTCCACAGTTGACGGTACACAGGCTGAAAGCGCTAATGAATTCAAGAACCTTACTACATGTCCAAGGCCGAAAAGCCATGAGGGTTACAGTTTAAGTGAGCTTGGAAAGGAACGCTCCCGAAGACGTCTGCAGCCGGAAGGGTCAGAGCCGCCGGCAGCCCGGCTCGCTCTGGGCTTTGTCGTCTCAGTACAGCGAGGCACCGTGATCCAGCAGCCCGTGATGGGGAAGGCCCTGGTTCTGTCTTTGTTTGGGGGTAAATAGCTGTGTGGTGTTGAGTGACTGTGATTGGCTTTTCCAGCTCCTTTAACACAACCTACCACCCACTCACGATACAACTTCGGCAGATGTGGTTCAATTGATGTTTGTTGACTTGCCTCATTGCCTTCCAGCTCTTTTAAGTGCCCAAATCTAACAGGGATGGTAGACGTGAAATGCATGACTGTCGTCCTAATTTCTGCATGTGTTTATGACACTGTGTTGAGGGGTGGGGCGGGGAGAGAACCAGAGAGCGTTTTCAGATGCCAGAGGTCTTTCCTTGTCTTATTTTGGGGGAATGCCGTGTCGCTCTTGGTGGCGTTGTCTGTCCATCTGTTTGTGAATGCCCTTGCGCTTCAACTTCCGGCCCTTCTGGTGGCATCCTTGGTTGTAAGGTGGCTGCTGTATAACGTCCACTCTCTCTCTCTCTCTCATTTTTAATATGTGTGATTGTTACTGTTGTCTTTGTTCTAAAGTATAACCCTAAGAGGAGATGATTGAGTTACAGTAGAGAAAATGGGTTGATCGGAGGAGTCGAGTGCAGTAAAACTCATACTGGCCTTTCGCTTTTCTCATTTCCCCATAAAACGGGCGGGTATTAATCCATCCCCACCTTCTAATGTCCTTGGTGCCCAGCTGGCTTTGTGGGGTGTTGCAATGGTTTTACTGTACTGCCTCGATCTGTGCCAGGCATTTATACACAGCCACGTGTGCGAGTCAGTTTAGGAATGGATGCACTCACCCCCCCCCCCCGCCCCTGTGGCTCATGGGATCAGCTGAATGGCCTCTCCACTGTCCCTAGATGGCAGATGCGGCAGACATGAGCGACATGGTCAATGGCGCTGCCGAGCAGAGGACAAGCTCCAAGGAGTCCAGCCCCATCCCCTCCCCCACCTCTGATCGCAAAGCCAAGACCAGCTTCTCGACCCAGAGTGCCGCCACCTTGCCGGCCAGAACCCAGGAGACGCCCTCAGCCCAGATGGAAGGTTTCCTGAATCGGAAGCACGAGTGGGAGGCCCACAACAAAAAAGCCTCGAGCAGGTAATGCCCGCTAGAGGTTGAAGTGGCTGGGCAGCGAGCGATCACAGGACTTGGTTCATCCTATGTATCCCTGGGGTGTCACATTCCTGGGACTGACAGTGGAAGGCAGCCTCTGTATGTTTGTCACCTCCTTTCAACTCGTTACATTGTTTTGACGGATGAAGATACCTGTGGGAGGCTAGAAAAGCTTGTTTCTGGCAGTAGAAAGCCCAGAAATAGCAAAGCAGGGTGTGTCCAACTCCAAAGGCTGTGTGTCTACCCAGTAGACCCAGCTTCCCAGGACTGCCAGGCACAGTTGTGCAGGTTGTACACTGCATGTGAAAGGAGTGGTACCACCTCTAAGTCATGCTTGTGGAGGACAGCGTAGGTGATAGGGCGATGTTAGTGTGCCATTCCATGGGGCAGAGGCCACCTGGCGCTGATTGACCTGAAGTTCCCTGCGTCTGCCTGCTTGACAGAACTTGCTGCTTGAGGACAGGCACATTCCAACTGAGAGATCTGGCCTGTGCCCCATTACAGTCAGAGGGGACCACAGTGGGGAGTACTAGACACCAGCACAGGACATCAAGTGTCAGATGGAGAGTGCCCATATGCCAGGGACGGAGGCACCAGGGATGTCCCCACACGCACACGGAGTCCTAGCCCTTGGGTACCTGCTCCAGTAGCAACAAGCACCCTTTCATTTGAGTCTGTCTGAGTTGAGACAGGACTTGTAGTGAGGGTCCCTAACGCACGTCACATTGTGTGAGGGCCGTTTTGCGTGTGTGTCGGGTTCTGGATTCTGTTCAGGAGGTTGCAGGGATGGCTGGTGCCTGACCTTCCTCTTTCTACCACTCAGGTCCTGGCACAACGTCTATTGTGTCATCAACAACCAAGAGATGGGTTTCTACAAAGACGCCAAGACTGCGGCGTCAGGAATTCCCTACCACAGCGAGCTGCCCGTGAGTTTGAAGGAGGCCCTGTGCGAAGTGGCCCTGGATTACAAGAAGAAGAAACACGTGTTCAAGCTCCGGTGAGGGCTGGGAGTGGGTGTGTGTGTGCCTGCAGGACCGGTGTTCTCCGATAGGTCCCCTGTGCCACCTTAGACCACCCCCACTCCTCACCACCCCAGAAAAGTGCAGGCTGAAGGTCTCCAAGTTTTAGAGGACTGGGGATCTTGCCACCAACCTCCCTGTGGCTTACAGATCCAGCTGAGCGCTGAAGGAAAAGAAACAAAGGTTCTTGACACCTGGAACATATAGCTTGTTGCCTAGGATTTGGGATGATCCCAGTCCCCAGTTTGAGGGAAGTTTCAAAAACCTGTTCTCATCATTTCTGCTTATCAAGACTCAGGAAATGCTGCTCTTTGCTCCTCAGTTAACTGGGAGCTGGGTTGAATGAGTCATAACAGAACCAGATGGAGACAAACAGGAAATGCTTGGGTGGGTCCCAGGGCCAGCCCCTGCCTTGACCTCCAGTGGCCGCTGCAGCTGCTTCTGAGCCATCTGGTCCCGTGTGTCTCTTTCCCCCAGGCCATATCACATCCCCACAAAGCAACTCCAAGCTGGGAAATCCTCTTTCTCCTTGAACATAGTCAGATAAAAATCCCTTTGTCTTTTTAAAAACAGTTAAAAATAAAAAGTCAGTGATTGAACTTTGTACCACTTTGCCCTGAGATCCGAGGAAACTCTGGTTTTTAGCTCTGTGTGCCCGTGGCGTTAGGCCAGGGCTGCCGAGGAGTGTGCCGCCTGCCTGCAGCATGCCATATTGAGCTCTGTCGGTGAGCGACCCCACGACACAGCAATGTAGTGGCTGACCGAATGCTCCAAACCTGCACACCTCTCCATGCCTACAGGTGTCCTCACACGCGTGACTGCTTTTATTCTGAAACCTGTGGGAAGAAAACCCTGGGAGACCTTTTCTCCATGCCAGAGACCCTGGAATTCAAATTTAATGCAGAGGATTTAAATATAGGCTCAGCAGCAGAATTTCACAAGAGCTTAACATTTTGTTATTGTGTGTGTTTATTTTGAGAGGCAGAGATGGAGAAGGCAGACATCCACTGATTTATTCCCTGAAGGCCTGTGGCGACCAGGGCTGGGCCACGGCCCGGAGCCCCGAGTCCCGAGCCCGGAGCCCGGAGCCCGGAGCCCGGAGCCAGGCACTCAAGGCAGATCTCCTGGGGGTGGCAGGGAGCCAACTACTGTGCCTCTCAGGCTCCGCATTGGAGGGCAGCAGGAAATTCATTCTGGGCACTCTTATAACAGGATGTGGGGGCTCTAATTACTAAACCCCCATCCCACTGCAGTATGGGATGCGTGTCTCCCAGGGGACATCTGAGCCACTATACCACACCGTCCCTCTGTGGCAGCCTGATATCCAGGGAGCCTTTGCTGGGTCTGAGGAGCTCCTCAGGAGTGCTGTGTGCAGGGCTCTGGCTGGCATTTCTGCTAGGATGCCTGTGGCCTCTTTATAGTCCACCTAGGAATATAAGAGCTGCTTGGGTTTGTTTCTGTTTTTCTGAAGTTAAATCATGACCTACTTTTGTTCCTTGACGTTGCAGGCTAAATGACGGCAATGAGTACCTCTTCCAAGCCAAAGATGATGTAAGTCTCTAAGTTGTGTTTCTCTTGGATGCTTAGGAATGTGTTCTAGGTATCTGTAGTGTGATTGCTTGATCCATCTTGCTGGTGTGTGTCACAAGCCG